GAGAGAATTTTTCCATGACAGAACTCAGAGTTGCATGTGACATTAAGACAAATCAGGCGAGATGAGATAATGAGAGTGAGGTCTTCTCCCCGGAGCAGTATAGAAGTGTAATTTTCCTGTTTGTTAGTTTTTGAAGTTGTTGCCAACTCAAGATTAACGCTTGTCTGTTGCCTTTTAATCTTAAATAAAATAATCTTTGCCTTTTTTGCCAATCCTGGTGTTTGAGCTTTATTTCAGTTTTTGTACTGTCTGTTTTTGTGACGACAGGTCAATGTGGCAAAATCATTGCTTGTTGATCGTTAATAGCCACAGGTCTCACTGCAACAAATATGAGGTTCTTCTGCCCCTTCAAGAGAAGAAAGCTTTGATGTTTAATGGTACATATGTGATCCCACCAGTAGAAAACAATTTACTGCAGATAGAAGTCTGTAAAGAGTATTTTATTCAGAGGAATCATGTCAAATTTGTGCCACTTGGCTTAAATATGTAATATATTCTTATTTAATATCCTTTTAAGATCTGAGAAGTTTGCTTTACCATTCTTCTCAATGCATTCATCAGTATCAGACTGTGGACACCTGTCGGCCGCTAATCTGCCTCTTTGCCTCCAAATGTGTAGATGTAATGTTTTATTGTTCACAGAAACTTTGTGCCTCTGAGGTTCTGCTGTAAGAGACGTTAGTGTCAGTTAATAGATCAGGAAAGCACATCCTGTCCTGCTCTAATATGATGATGGTCTCCGTCGGAGGTTTGGAGGTTTGGAACCCAAATGGGAGACTTGGGGACTCTTTTTGGAGCAGGAGGACAGACTCGAACATCTCCGCTGCACTTCAGTCTCCTTAAACCCACAGACACTTAATCATTAGGGGCAATTTAAGGCACAGGCTTGCCTGGTCAGAAGCCTAGGGGCCCCTGATTATTTTAGGGCCTCTGATTGGCTGTTTTTTTTTCCATTTTAATGAGATTTATTTTTAACAGGCCTACCCAATCAAACGGAAGAATATTTATTAAGCTGACATTTTACTGATAATGAAATTTGATATGGTTTCTGTGAGTGCGGTCACTGTACAATGGCCAATCAATTTCTTACGTTCTCTGCTAAGCTGTGCCTTCCTTTCTCAGCTCTCCAGTCACTGCACAGTAGCTGTTGTCATAGGTGCTAGAATGCAAATGTGGCACCATTTAAGGTGGAGCAGAAAATTTGGAAAAGAGCCTGGTGGATAAGACGCATCAGCTTCGTTTACGTTTGTGCAGTAATGAAAAGATGATGAATGGCTTATGGAATAATTACTCAAGTATGATGATAATCTTTTCTGCGGCCATCCTGGATGCTGTGTTGACCACAGTATTCTATATAAACATAAACATGTTGGATGTTACATTAACTGAGATTGATCCTTCCTTATTTAGGCCTTGTTCAGACCGCCAGCCCAAATCTAATTAGCATATCCAGATTGTATCTAGATTGATTTTTGATTGTCACTTCATGTGTGTTGAGTATCAGAGTCCGTATTACAGAAACTTCTTAACTCTGGACAGCATGTTGCTGGATGGAGAGACTCAGGAGCTGCTCTGTTGTATGTAGGGACTCTAACACTTTTTCACACTGATCTTCAGAGAGACGCTTTAGAGGTGTTTGTTTTGTAGGATGTAAGATGCTAAAGCAGTAGTGTTCTTATTATACAGTCATTATAGTTGCGGTGTTGGCTGTGTTCCCATAAACGGTGTCAGATACGGACTGAAATGCAGGTATTCTGGAACAGTGTGAAGAACTCGAGAGCGGAGTTTGGGGCGATGGTGGTGTTCGTGGTGGATTAAGAGGTGATGATGGAAACTCCAGCAGGTTTTTGTGGTGGTGATTGAAGGTGTTCCAGAAGGTGAGAGCAGAGCTGTTCAGGATCCTGACGGTCTGGTGATGGAAACTGTACTGGAAGCTGATGGTCTTTAATCTCCCACTCATCCTCCAAACAGCATGAGTGTGAACAGGCCGTGATGAGGGTGGATAGAATGGACATATTTTAGAGTATTAAACAGTTAGCAGTATTTGAATGGTTGTCTGATGTAGTTCTGTCACTAGAGATAAAACAGTATTTAAATTAATCTATAATTTATTGATCTTATTCTTTAATAAATATTGATAATTTGCTGTGTCAGTAGACCGGTCGTGTGCAACATAGCGCGAAAGCCCCGTTTCTTAACGACTGAGAACCGGCGTGCAGACTGCAGGTCACATAGCAGCGATGCGTTATTCGCATTCATAAGCAGCGCAGTTGGTTTCCTGGTACGTTAAATCTGCAGCGAGAGACTGTCGAACACTAAAAAGTTGCGAAGCTGAAGTCAGCTTTCGAATACTCCCGTTCCACCTTAAATGGTGCCGCATTTACATTGGCATTGCATTTACTGCTTGATTATAATACATATTTTGGCAAGTAAGTACTTCTTTCTTTTATTTAGAGTTTTAAAATATAGGAATAATTTGCGAGTAGAGTTTGGTGGTTTCCACTTTTTTCTTCAAACGATCTCCAAATATTACCTCACTATACATAATTTATTAAATATGTAGAAATATGAAAAAGCATGTTCTTCTCCAGAGCTTCAGAATGTTTACAGTTTTAAGTATAGACATTATAATATTATAGTATTGTGTTAATAATAATACTATATTAGTAGAAATGAAATGTATTGAAGTTAGCAGTTAGGCTAAGTGATTCACAATGTCCAAGACCTTTTTAGCTCCAACTCCAGGATAAATTACTCCAACTCCAACACTGCTAAGCTAATAAAACTGTTAAATGGTCACCATTGTTCATAAAATCATTTTGATCAATTCAGTTTTTTATTGAACGTTGTATTCATTATACTGTTGTAAGGATCTCATTGTTTTGGAAAAACTGGAGTCAGGGCACAGTCAGCAAAGAATTCTTCAGACAAAAACAATGTAATATTGCTGGGGAAAAAATGATGATGGGAAAATCATGGATTAAATTTAAATTAGTTGAAGAGAAAGGAAAATACTGTACTGTACTGGGAAACACAGTCCTATCATTTTTGCAGCATTTGACTGAATCTGAGCAGAAAGTATTGCTCTGTACACTTCGGTATTCATCCTGCTGCTTCTATCAGCAGCCACATCATCAGTAAACACCAGTGACCCAGTTTCACTAACAGCAATACATGCCCATGCCATAACACTACCTCCACCATGATTGACAGATGATGTGCTATGCTTTAGATCATGAACCTTTCTTTTCCTTGTCCATGCTCTCCTCTTCCCATCATTCTGGTACAAGTTCATCTGGGTTTCATCTGTCCAAAGAAACTTGTTTCAGAACTGGCAGGCTGTGTTTTTTTGGATGTTTTATAGCAAAGTAGTGGTTCACATCTTGAAGTAAAGCATCTCTTGATTATAGATTTTGTCAGTGATACACCAGCCTCCTCTAGAATGTCCTTGACAAGGTGTTGTGAAGGGGGTTTTCTTCACCACTGAAAGAATTCTGCACTTTAGTTCCCTTTCATGGTTTTCTAGACCTTTTGGTATTGCTGGGCTCGGCAGTGCATTCCTTCTTTTTAATAACACTCTTAAAGTCCAAATATGGTGAGGTTTTGTTTCAGATGTTGTGCTACCATCCGTGGTGAGATGTTAGCCAAAATGCAATAATTTTAACTAAACTGCAGATTTGTACATTGAACATCTGTACAGGTCTTTGGGAGTAATGCAGCTTGTTTTGCATACCTGACCGTTCTGTGAGCAGTTCAGACGGATTTTTCTTGGTCGTCCAGCTCTTCACTCACATTCCAGCAGTTTTCTTTGCTTCTGCTTCTGAAAGCTAAAACAGTGCATTTTTCTTTGCTTTTTAACAGCTGAATGTTGATGTTGGGGAATCCCAACCATTTTGTCACACTTGTGTTTCTTTCTCTTTCAGAAAAACAATCTACTGTTCCAAGTGTATTTCCTACAAAAGGAGGTCCCACCAAAAGTAATACATCAGACTTGTGAAATCAAGGCTGATTTAAAAGTGAGAATAAGGTTTCCAGAAGAAGCTCCAGTACTTGGCAGACGTCCTTTGGTACACTATGTGATAACATATCTCTCAGACTAATGGAGGAAACTACAGACAAAGAGAGAACTCACTATTGCCTGGACTGTGGGAAGAGCTTTCCTCATTGGAATAATCTCCAACGACACAAACTCGTTCACACAGGAGAGAAAAGAAAGGTTTAATCTTTAATTGTAAAATGCCTCCTAACACTGAAATCTCTAAACGACCCTATACTGCCAATAGAAATCTCTGAACAGCATTTTACTCTTGTTTGGGCCAATGGGATAAAATCTAATTTTAATCTTAGTTTAAAATTGTGTAATATAAATTGGATTTGTATTTCTAAGTAGTATATATGCTGTCATGTATTATGATTTCATATTTTCACTTCAGCTTTACAGTAAAGTGAAAGCTTTGTCCTGATGTCACAAAACATTGAATACCATGGTGATTGTGGGTCAAAAGGAGGCGCCACTTACAAATGTGAGGCTTAATTGTAAAAAAAACAAGCTTGGACCTAATAATCACTTGTGGCCTTATCTGTTTATAATTGCTTGTAATAAAGGCAATTGTTGGTAATTAATAAGAAAAATATTGATACTGGCTGCGAGTAAATGAGTTCAGTATGAACACATTGGACGGATGTGTTCAAACTGTTCAGTGAGCCACTGAAACAAGATGGCACTACTTTACAAAAATAAAGCTGAAATTAATACTTTTAACTGTTTTAGTTTTAAGTTTTTTAGTTTTGAAGTGTTTGTAATGTAAGTGCTGAGGAGCTTAACACAAACCTGCTGGTTTAATAATGATAAATGACTTCATCATTAGATTTTTGTTTATTGATCAAATGTGTGATGGCATTGCTTTAATATATGATCTAACTTTATTAGGTATTATGCCTAATAAAACTGTCCTCGCTCCCTTTCTCTTCACCCTCTACACTGCGGACTTCAAGTACAGCTCTGCCAGTTGTCACCTGCAAAAGTTCTCTGACGACTCTGCTATCGTCTGCCTCATCACAGACGGAGATGACAGGGAGTACAGAGAACTGACGCAGGACTTTGTGGAATGGTGCCAGAGGAACTGCCTGCAGATCAACGCAGGAAAAACCAAGGAGCTGGTGGTGGACTTCCGCAAGTCCAAACATTCTCCTCCAGTGCCTGTGAACATCCAGGGAATGGACATTGAGATTGTGAAGTCCTATAAGTACCTGGGTGTTCACCTCAACAACAAGCTGGACTGGACTGACAACACAGCTGCCCTCTACAGGAAAGGCCAGAGCAGGCTACATCTCCTGAGGAGACTCAGGTCCTTTGGCGTGCAGGGGGCACTTCTCAGGACCTTCTTCGACGCTGTGGTGGCATCAGCCATTTTTTATGGAGTGGTGTGCTGGGGTAGCAGCATCTCCATTGCTGACAGGAAGAGACTGAATAAGATCATCAGGAAGTCCAGCTCTGTCCTGGGATGTCCTCTTGACCCAGTGGAGGTGGTGGGGGACAGGAGAATGAGGACTAAGCTAACAAACATGCTGAAGAACCTGTCCCACCCCATGCACCGCTCTCTGACAGCACTGGTCCTTCCTCCCAGCCGCTGTCAGACTCTATAACAGTCACGGCACTCAGTAGACAGTAGTTTACAATTACTTTCCATGTGCAAAAACTCTCAACATCACTGCCACAGCACTTTACTGTGTGCAATATCTCAATCCACCATGCGTAGTATATTCACTGCGGATCACTGTCAACATGTTTACCACCATTATGTGCAATTATGTCAAGTGCAATATTTCTCCATTTATTACTGTTTATTTATTTGCTATTTTATTCACTGTGCAATACTCACTACAATACATACATTTCTACATTTCTAAATTTAAATTTAATACTTTGTATATTTTTCTTGTAATTTTTGTACATATACATATATCTTTATATTTTTATTGTTTATTCTATTTTATATATTGTTTGTATATTTCCTGCTGCTCTGTCTTCTGTGCTGCTGTAACACCGCAAATTTCCCCGTTGTGGGATTAATAAAGGATTATCTTATCTTATCTTATCTTATTAGTATCTACATATCTGTCAGGGTCTATTAAAATATATAAACGAAATAAAAGAACAAAATTATTTTAGTTCAATAAGCACGCACATACATTATATTATCACCATAGGGAAAACAGTCACCTCCCAACCCCCTCCCAACCACACCCATAGCAAGACACCTGTGGCCTATAAATAACACCCAGGTCGGAGTTCCGGTGTGAGTCCCCCTGCAGCCCAAGTGGGGGCGCTACATCTTCATCTGTGGTTCTACAAAGACAAAACGGTGGAGCAGGAGAAGAAGATCCCGTTGTGATCAGCGGTCCACGCCTCCGCCGGTGTGCAGGGCTGCAGGGGGCGGAGAGGAAGACGCTGCTCTGTGGTAAGTAGGGGCTCTAACACTTTTTCACACTCTTTACTCTGTGTTTAACTGATCTTCAGAGAATCAGGAGCTGCTCTGCTGTAGTTCAGATGTTTTAAACAGTGTTTCAGTCTTTAGTCTGGATACAGTCAGGCTGTCTTTGCGTTCCTCAGTTCTGTCTGTCTATGTTAGAACCTGGCAGAACACAGAAGCTGGTTCTTCTGAATGAAAATGTGTTCATGCATTTGTGACCAACTTCCTGCAAAGTGAGGGAGATTTTGTGATAAAGATTTTTCAAAGTTTGTTTAGTAATAGATGACTTTAATCATAACTACTCATATTGTGCTGTTTGGCTCTAACTGTGTATGGGCAGCTCTTACTGTGTGTGTGTGGCCTTGAGTTTGGGGCAAGGAGCTGTGTTGGTGAACCGTTTCATGTTGGTGAACTGTTTGTACCATAAAAGCATTAAAATGTCTTTGAAGAGGAAAAACAAACACAGCGCAGAAATTTAAATGAAAACCTAAAGTAAATGAAGCACAAAGGCCTAGACCTGAGTGCAGCCTTGGCCTCTAATTGTTTTAAAAAATAAACATTACTTCTTGGCTTGGAAATAAGGGTGTTTAGGGTGACCATGACATTTGGAGATAATGGTGTGCAAATCAAAAGGTTTAAAATATTTGGGAGAGGCAAGGATAAGCCAGGTGATGATCCCTCCTCGCCCAAAAAAAAGAGTATAAAAGCTGTGTTTTTTGCGGGTTGGTCAGTTGCTGCTGGGCCATCTCAAGATTAACGTTAATAAAAAACTGTGCCCTTTCCTGCCAGTTTTATTTTCATTTTTGAGTTTGGAACAAAGCTGCCTTTTTTTCACGACATGGCCTCGCTCTTCTGAATGAAGACACAGCTGTTCCTGGAGATCCAATTTCCTGCAGAGTCTAGTTTCCACCAAATGGTGCCACACCTGCTTCAGCTTACTAACTTTTTCAGAAGGTCTTGATTGGCTGGACCAGGTGAGTTAGTGTTGGCTAAGGGAAAGGTCAGAACTAAACTCTATGGAAAAGCAGATTTCCAGGAGGAAGGTTGGCGACCACTGGATTTATGGTGTTTGCATGGTCACCAGATCAGGCAGAACTGAGGGGAAACAGAAGAGAAAGTAAGTTTCATTCAGATATTTCTCATGTTTCTTATCGAATCTTATAGAAATGATTGGGAAGATCTTCGCTTCTCGAAAAGGTGGATGTAGAACATGTCGGCTAGCAGTGAAGCTGTTTTTGTTCACACTTGGCCGAATCTTCTCGCACTGATATTTAGGGTGGTCATAATGTTTTTGTTGTTGGGTTTGACCAACAGAACACTGGAGTTTTATTTAGGATTTACTTGATGTGACCTGGAAAACTGTTACATAATTCATGTTGTCCTCTAGTGGAGTTAGCCTTCGTGTGAACTGCACTAAAGGGTCATGCAAAGGCTTCTCCTGTGAGTCTTTCCTGGGCTTTTGTCTTCTAATCATCAAGTCTTTCATTTCCTAATGGCTGGTTTTTAGAGCAGGATGGAGAACCTGAGAGCTACGTTTGGGTAGTGGGGGTTGGTGGGGTTGGTGGGGTGAGTAAATTCAGAGGTGATAACAGAACCTCCAGCAGGTTTCTATGGATGATGATTGAAGGTGTTCCAGAAGGTGAGAGCAGAGCTGTTCAGGATCCTGATGGTCTGCTGGTAGAAACTGATGGTTCTTAATCTCTCACTCACCCTCCAACATGGTGGGGGTAGATATGAAGAGGTGACTGAGTGTAGTTGAATAGTTGTGATGTAGTTCTGTGCTATGAGAAAAAGAAAAATATGCATGTAAGTTAATCTATAGTTTTACTGATACATTTTCTATAAAAATTGGTAATTTGGTAATTGGTGTGATTAGAGGCATTAAATTGTCAGGATGCCGAATGCTTTATATGTTGGTATTACAGTACAAAACCAAACATCATGCTGCTGTAGATTTTTTAGCAAAATACTTCAATAGAGAAAGATGTGGTGGTAATTATTCAGGAATAATTATGCAGGAATTATAAGGATTATTTGTAATTGTTGTGGTATAAGTCAACAAATGATCGTATTACCATAAATACATAAAGACAATAATTGTGTTTGTAACTGGAAAGGCAGGATGGTACTTATTTTTTGTCATTACTGGCTACAGCTCAAACATAACTATCCATTTCGGGGTTGATTATAGAATATATGGATAGAATTGTAAGTAGGGTGTGGCAGTTCCCACTTTATTCCTACCTTAAAAATGCCCCACATATACTGGTGTAACAAAAATAGTGTCACTGTCAGCTGGGAGTCTTGGAGCATAAACTCCTCTGTGAAACTATAACAGTTAAAAGCTGATGCTGAACAAAGTTGACCTTGTACAAACATTTATTCCACATTACTGTAGTTATGTTTCAGCCTACTGAAGTCAGTGTTGGACAGGTGTGTTTAGTAACTCAAATGGCCAGAAAGAATTTTTTTGTGATTATTATTTGGCTAATGTTACTACGAAAGGGGCTTTTCCACGCCACAAACACGACTGAGGGGTGTGAATGAGTGCAGCTAGGCTGTCTGAAGTTCGTAAAGGTATTTGTATGTGTTAGAAATGGTTGCTAGATTGTAAAACGTTGCTGAAACCCTTTAAAAGTGTTTTGAATCTGGCAGCATTTCTTGTTGTCTATAAGCAAGTTTAAACTGTTTTACACAGTGTGTTTGTTATACTGCTGAACATGATGAGGGAGATTTTTTAATAATAAAATGTAAAAGATCAGTTTGTTTAAGTAACAGATGAATTGAATCATAACTATTCATTCACTATTCAACTATTCAACTATCAAGTGCTGTATCAGAAGGTCCAAAATATTTAAGATGGACCAGAAGCGGCTGCGTGTTAACCCCTCCTTGCCCAGAAAAAAGGATAAAAAGTTTGGGTTTTTGTGGGTTGGTCAGTTGTTGTTGTTGTTGTTGTTGTTGTTGGGCCAACTCAAGATTAACATGTGTTGCTGGAAAGCCTTAATCTTCAATAAAATAATTTGTGCCTTTTCCTGCCAATCCTGGTGTTTTGAGTGTTATTTGAGTTCTGTGTCTGGAGCGAAGCTGCAGAGATATTTCTCCATGACGATTCTAGAAGAGATTGGTCTATAATCGGAGCAAGGGCAAGTTTATTCCACCAGCTCAGCTTAATTCTTGTATTCCACACATTTTACAGGATGGCGGGTTGAGCCGAGCCATACTTAAAGCTAAGGTTTTAACTCTCGCCGTCAGGAACGTGGGAGCTGGTGCATTTTTGGCTTTTGTGGGCAGTAATCAGGGTTTAAAATCGGATGTGCACGGCTTCAGGAAACCAGTAGGGGGAAACAAGTGAGAACAAGCGAAATTGAGAAGATTGAAATTAAGCCGTGCTGCTGCTTTCTGGATTAGCTGAAGGGCCTGATGGTCTACAAAGGAAGAGCAGCTAGAAGAGAGTGGCGAGAGTCTCAAAATTATAGGCACCCTATAAATAAACAGTTCAGTTCAGTGTTGCAGACCAGAAATGTAGGTTTGCCGCATGAGCAGAAAATGATAGTGGGCAGGATAACCAGACAGTCCTTGAAGGATATGACAGAATTGTGGTTAGGACCTGTATTTCCATGTTGTTCTTGCTGAGCTTTAGTTTCAGATTGTGGAATATCATCCAGACATGCTGAAATGAGCAGAAACCCAATCAGTTTAGTTAAGCTGCAGATTCATACATTAAACATTTAAGCAGGTTATTTTAGTGTGATGTAGTCATTTTGCTTTTCATACCTGAACAAAGAATGAGCAAAGAAGTTACTAAATGATGTTGATGTTGGTGAGTAATCCCAACAACTTTAACACTTCTTTATCTCTTTTTCAGGAAAATAATAGCTTCCTGCTGCAAGTCTTCCTGAGGTTTACTCAGCTACACACTTCAGATCTACCAAAAACACAAGAACAGGTTCCACCAAGAGGAATACAGACTTCTGAAATCAGGGCTGATTAAATGTGAGAATAAGGTTTCCAGAAGAAGCTCCAGTACTCGGCAGACAAGCTCTGGTCCTGTATGTGGTAACACATCTCGCAGGTTAATGGAGGAAAATACAGACAAAGAGACTCAACGGAGAAGTCTTCAAGTCCACCAGGTTGTCCACACGGCAAAGAAACCATATCACTGCACCACGTGTGGAAGGGGCTTTGCTCAACGCAGTCATCTCCAAAGACACCAACTACTCCACACTGAAGAGAAGCTGTATCCCTGCTCAGAGTGTGGGAAGAGTTTTCATCAGCTGAAAAGTCTCGAAGTCCACCAGTTTATTCACACAGGAGAGAAACCGTATCAGTGCTCAGAGTGTGGGAGGGGTTTTGCTCAAAGCGGTCATCTCCAAAGACACCAACTCGTTCACACAGGAGAGAAGCCGTATCGCTGCTCAGAGTGTGGGAAGAGTTTTACTCAAAAAAATAGTCTCCAAGTCCACCAGCGCATGCACACAGGAGAGAAACCGTTTAGCTGTTCAAAGTGTGGGAGGAGTTTTAAACAACTGGGTCATCTTAAAGTTCACCTGGGCGTTCACACCAAAGAGAAGCCGTATCACTGCTCAGAGTGTGACAAGAGTTTTGGAGCTCTTCAGACTCTAAGAAGCCACCAGCGCATTCACACAGAAGGGAAGCTGTACTGCGCAGAGTGTGGGAAGAGTTTTAATGAACGGAGTCACCTCCGACTACACCAGCGCATTCACACCGGAGAGAAGCCGTATCAGTGTTCAGACTGCGGGAAGAGTTTTAATCGAACCACTCATCTCCGTACACACCAGCGCGTTCACACTGGAATTAAACCGTATCCCTGTTCGGAGTGTGGAAAGAGTTTTAATCATCCAAGCAGCCTCAAAGTCCACCAGCGCATCCACTCAGGAGAGAAACCGTATCAGTGCCCAGAGTGTGGGAAGAGTTTTAATCAGCAGAGCATTCTTCACGCGCACCAGCGCAGTCACACTGGAGAGAAGCCGCATCACTGCTCAGACTGCGAGAAGAGCTTTAGGCTTTTGAGGTCTCTGAAGATGCACAAGTGCACTAACACGGCAAAAACCTGTGATGCGTGACGTTACGTCCCATGTTTGGTTTTCTCTTTCTGTACCTGGCTACATTTTCTCTGGTTGATGTTGCTGTATGACCGACATTCTGACTTCCCCGGAACGTGATTGGCTGTGTCAGTTGGTGCTGGCTATAAGTCTCTTTCTACTAGTCCATGGCGAGCGGTATTTGATTCAGCCTCGTGCTGCTCTGCTGCTCTGCTCCTCTGCCTGCCAGTTGCTAGACCAGTTTGATTGTATTTCACTGTGGCCAGTAATGATACCTTATATACCAATATATATATTATTCTGGCGGCTGAGCAGGCAGTCTCGCATGCTTTTGGTTAAACTAACCCTTAAGATATGTAACAATGAATCTGTCAAATTGAAAAATATAAATTACATAGCAGATATTTTTGACTGGGTGGTGCAGTGGCGCAGTGGGTAGCAAGGAGGGCCTGGGCTCGATTCCCCAGCTGGGCAACCAGGGTCCTTTCTGTGTAGAGTTTGTTTTCTCCGGTTTCCACTGTCCAAAGACATGCAGTCAGGCCAATTGGACTTGGTACATTGCTCCTAGGTGTGTGAGTGCATGTATATGTCTGTGTGTCTACCCTCTGATGGACTGGTGTCCTGTCCAGGGTGTATCCTGAAAAAATTTATTGTTTTTTAAAAAATACATACCCAGTTTGAATTTGAACTAATTAGGTTAATGTGCACCAGGTCAGGTCATCTCAGTAACATGATTGGGTATAAAAGAGCATCTCTGAGTCTTTCAGAAGTAAAGATGAGGAGGGGTTCACCACTCTGGGAAAGACTGTACGATCAAATAGTGTAACAATTCAAGAATAACGTTTCTCAGTGTAAAATAAAAACTTTTTCTTTTCATCATCTACGGTACATAATATCATTAAAAGATTCAGAGAATCTGGAGAAATCTCTGTATGTGAGGGACAAGGCCAAAAAGTAATAATGTCTGCGGTGTTCTGGCCTTCAGGTGGCACTGCATTAAAAACACTTACTAACGATTAACTAACGATAAAAAGATTTTAAAAAGATTGTGTAGCTGGAAAGTCTTAATCTTCAATAAAAGAAATTGTGCCTTTTCCTGCCAGTCCTGGAGTTTTGAGTGTTATTTGAGTTCTGTGTCTGGAGCGAAGCTGCAGAGAGAATTTTTCCATGACAGAACTCAGAGTTGCATGTGACATTAAGACAAATCAGGCGAGATGAGATAATGAGAGTGAGGTCTTCTCCCCGGAGCAGTATAGAAGTGTAATTTTCCTGTTTGTTAGTTTTTGAAGTTGTTGCCAACTCAAGATTAACGCTTGTCTGTTGCCTTTTAATCTTAAATAAAATAATCTTTGCCTTTTTTGCCAATCCTGGTGTTTGAGCTTTATTTCAGTTTTTGTACTGTCTGTTTTTGTGACAACAGGTCAATGTGGCAAAATCATTGCTTGTTGATCGTTAATAGCCACAGGTCTCACTGCAACAAATATGAGATTCTTCTGCCCCTTCAAGAGAAGAAAGCTTTGATGTTTAATGGTACATATGTGATCCCACCAGTAGAAAACAATTTACTGCAGATAGAAGTCTGTAAAGAGTATTTTATTCAGAGGAATCATGTCAAATTTGTGCCACTTGGCTTAAATATGTAATATATTCTTATTTAATATCCTTTTAAGATCTGAGAAGTTTGCTTTACCATTCTTCTCAATGCATTCATCAGTATCAGACTGTGGACACCTGTCGGCCGGTAATCTGCCTCTTTGCCTCCAAATGTGTAGATGTAATGTTTTATTGTTCACAGAAACTTTGTGCCTCTGAGGTTCTGCTGTAAGAGACGTTAGTGTCAGTTAATAGATCAGGAAAGCACATCCTGTCCTGCTCTAATATGATGATGGTCTCCGTCGGAGGTTTGGAGCCCAAATGGGAGACTTGGGGACTCTTTTTGGAGCAGGAGGACAAACTCGAACATCTCCGCTGCACTTCAGTCTCCTTAAACCCACAGACACTTAATCATTAGGGGCAATTTAAGGCACAGGCTTGCCTGGTCAGAAGCCTAGGGGCCCCTGATTATTTTAGGGCCTCTGATTGGCTGTTTTTCCCCTTTTATTTTATTTTTAACAGGCCTACCCAATCGATCGGAAAAATATTTATTTAGCTGACATTTTAAGATAATGAAATTTGATATGGTTTTTGTGAGTGCGGTCACTGTACAATGGTCAGTCCAATTCTTACATTCTCTGCTAAGCTGTGCCTTCCTTTCTTAGCTCCAATCACTGCACAGTAGCTGTTGTCATAGGTGCTAGAATGCAAATGTGGCACCATTTAAGGTGGAGCAGAAAATGTGAAAAAGAGCCTGGTGGATAAGACGCATCAGCTTCGTTTACGTTTGTGCAGTAATGAAAAGATGATGAATGGCAGCTCTGGAAGTCACTAAAACAAAGCTTTTGGACGCTGTGTGTATCTAGTCTCTTAGGGCTCACAAGCAGGTTAATGCGCTCCTGTTAATCATATGCATTTATTATGGTAAAAGGTAGTTTATAATGGAGTTTCTGCAACCAGTCTGTTCAACAGTCATGTTCAGCTGTCACTTTTGATAGTTGGTACATAAGACGTTCTGCATTACCACCATCAGCAGAATGAAGAAGGTCCACAACACTAAACATAATACATTTTTAATTTTAGAAATGTGTTCTTATACTCAAGTATGATGATAATCTTTTCTGTGGCCATCCTGGAACTGTGTTGACCACAGTATTCTATATAAACATAAACATGTTGGATGTTACATTAACTGAGATTGATCCTTCCTTATTTAGGCCTTGTTCAGACCGCCAGCCCAAATCTAATTAGCATATCCAGATTGTATCCAGATTGATTTTTGATTGTCACTTCATGTGTGTTGAGTATCAGAGTCCGTATTACAGAAACTTCTTAACTCTGGACTTTGATCTGTTTGGTCTCCATGACGACTTCAGTACGGACTGAATTTCGGATAGTCGTTATTCCAGAATAAGAGTTCCTAACTTCATAATCTGATCATTAAAATGGGATATATACAACCTCTCAATGTGAATTTCCCTGCAGCCCAGCTGGGGGCGCTAGTTCTACAGCTGTGGTTTTCCAAATACAATAAAGCGAAGAAGACGATCAGTTGCGATCAGCGGTCAACGCCTTCGCGCGCGTGCAGCGTTGTTGGGGGAGAGACTCAGGAGCTGCTCTGTTGTAAGTAGGGGCTCTAACACTTTTTCACACTCTTTACTCTGTGGTTTAACTGATCTTTAGAGAATCAGGAGCTGCTCTGGAGTTTGGGGCTGATGGTGGTGTTGATGGGTTCTGGTGAACATCTGGTAGATTAAGAGGTGATGATGGAAACTCCAGCAGGTTTCTGTGTTGGTGATTGAAGGTGTTCCAGAAGGTGAGAGCAGAGCTGTTCAGGATCCTGACGGTCTGGTGATGGAAACTGTACTGGAAGCTGATGGTCTTTAATCTCCCACTCATCCTCCAAACAGCATGAGTGTGAACAGACTGTGATGAGGGTGGATAGAATGGACATATTTTAGAGTATTGAACAGCAGACGGTATTTGAATAGTTGTCTATCAATTGAGATAAAAAAAAATATGTAAATTGATCTCTAAATCTTTAATAAATATTGATAATTTAATGAACATTAAAGTGTCGTCAGAAGAGCAGCTCTAGTCGTTCTGTCAGTGTGTCCAGAAATATCTGCATTGTCTACTTTTGGCAAAGAGAACACTGAGCCACATTCACCAGTATCTTCCTAAGTGTGTTCTTAAGTCTGTTCTTAGGTCTGTTGTGAAAGGTCCTAAGAAAAAGTCTGTCAGATTAATGACGTGTTCTAAAAGCGCAGAACTGTTCTCACCTTTGTGTTCTTGAGTGTGTGTAGATTCTGTTCTTACCTGAGAACAAACCCCACATAAGAGAACACTGAGTCAGAACTGCGTAAGTGGGTTTAAGAAGAGATTTCTGGGAAATCTGGCTCTACATACAAATGGTTAAGATTGGAATCTTGGTGTTTGATCTGCTTGTTGCAATACATATTTTGGCAAGTAAGTAGTTCTTTCTTTTATTTAGAATTTAAAAAAATACAGGAATAATTGCAACTTTTTTCATATTTAAATTTTTCACATTGCTAAATTTCCTTTGGGATCATTAAAGTATCTGTCTGTCTGTCTATCTATTTATCTATATATCTGCAAACCATCTCCAAATATTACCATGTTATACATAATATACATATGCACAAGCATCCTCTCCTCCAGAGCTTCAAAATGTTTACAGTTTTAAGTATAGACATTATAATATTATAGTATTGTGTTAATAATAATACTATATTAGTAGAAATGAAATGTATTGAAGTTAGCAGTTAGGCTAAGTGATTCACAATGTCCAAGACCTTTTTAGCTCCAACTCCAGGATAAATTACTCCAACTCCAACACTGCTAAGCTAATAAAACTGTTAAATGGTCACCATTGTTCATAAAATAATTTTGATCAATTCAGTTTTTTATTGAACGTTGTATTAATTATACTGTTGTAAGGATCTCATTGTTTTGGAAAAACTGGAGTAATTTTTATAAAAAACCTGAAATAAAGCTGAAAGTCTACACTTCAATCACATATTGGTTGCTTCATTTCAAATCCTGCGCAGTGATGTACTGAGGCAAAATTTAAAACCATGTCTCTGTCCAAATATGGTGAGGTTTTGTTTCAGGTGTTGTGCTACCATCCCTGGTGAGATGTTAGCCAAAATTCAATAATTTTAACTAAACTGCAGATTTGTACATTGAACATCTGTACAGGTCTTTGGGAGTAATGCAGCTTGTTTTGCATACCTGACCGTTCTGTGAGCAGTTCAGAAGGATTTTTCTTGGTCGTCCAGCTCTTCACTCACATTCCAGCAGTTTTCTTTGCTTCTGCTTCTGAAAGCTAAAACAGTGCATTTTTCTTTGCTTTTTAACAGCTGAATGTTGATGTTGGGGAATCCCAACCATTTTGTCACACTTGTATTTCTTTCTCTTTCAGAAAAACAATCGTCTACTGTTCCAAGTGTATTTCCTATAAAAGGAGGTCCAAACAAAAGTAATACATCAGACTTGTGAAATCAAGGCTGATTTAAAAGTGAAAATAAGGTTTCCAGAAGAAGCTCCAGTACTTGGCAGACGTCCTTTGGTACACTATGTGATAACACATCTCTCAGACTAATGGAGGAAACTACAGACAAAGAGAGAACTCACTATTGCCTGGACTGTGGGAAGAGCTTTCCTCATTGGAATAATCTCCAACGACACAAACTCGTTCACACAGGAGAGAAGCCGTATCAGTGCTCAAAGTGTGGGAGGGGTTTTGCTCAAAGCGGTCATCTCCAAAGACACCAACTCGTTCACACAGGAGAGAAGCCGTATCAGTGCTCAAAGTGTGGGAAGAGTTTTACTCAAAAAAATAGTCTCCAAGTCCACCAGCGCATCCACACTGGAGAGAAACCGTTTAGCTGTTCAGAGTGTGGGAAGGGTTTTAATCGACAGAGTCATCTCCAAGCACACCAGCACGTTCACACAGGAGAGAAGCAGTGTCACTGTTCAGAGTGTGGAAAGAGTTTTGGAGACATTGGTACTCTAAAAAAACACCAGCGCATTCACACAGGAGAGAAACTGCATTACTGCTCAGACTGTGGAATAAGTTTTAGGCAACAAGGTCATCTCCAACTACACCAGCGCATTCACACCGGAGAGAAGCCGTATCAGTGTTCAGACTGCGGGAAGAGTTTTAGTCGAAATACTCATCTCCGGACACACCAGCGCGTTCACACTGGACTGAAGCCGTATCCCTGTTCAGAGTGTGGAAAGAGTTTTAATCATCCGAGTAGTCTCCAAGTACATCAACGCATTCACACTGGACTGAAGCCGTATCAGTGTTCAGAGTGTGGGAGGAGATTTACTCAACAGAGTGCTCTCAAATCACACCAGCACAGTCACACTGGAGTGAAACCGTATCACTGCTCAGAGTGTGGAAAAACATTTAATCATCCAAGCAGCCTCGAAGCACACGAACGCATCCATACGGGAGAGGAACCCTATCACTGCTCAGAGTGTGAGCGGAGCTTTAAGTATTTGAAGTCTATAAAGATGCACAAGTGCACCAAGAGGAAGGCAAAAACCTGAGATGCAGGAGTATCAAATTAGAAAACGTTCATTATATAATGGGGGTTACATAAACTAGTCAGCCAGTAAGTTGAGGACGGTGCCTAAAATACAGCGGTGATAAAAACTGCAGTGAAGACTTAACTGTGTGAAGTGCTTCAGTTCTGTCCTTCAGACTGACGGACTGTCTATAAATAAGGGTTCATTATTTGAAGCTGAGTCAAACCAATTAACCAAACAATAAAAATAAACGTTTCACGATTTGCATTAGGATTGACTGACTTCATTGAGTCAGTTAGGATTTAACCAATCAGGTAGCTAATTAGTTCAGTGGTGTAGTGCCAAAATCATCACTGTTATTAGCCACAGGTCACACTGCAATAAATATGAGTGTCTGTGAATTCTCAGATGATAAAACAGGCAGACAGATGTGTAGAAAAGAAAGGTTTAATCTTTAATTGTAAAATGCCTCCTAACACTGAAATCTCTAAACGACCCTATACTGCCAATAGAAATCTCTGGACAGCATTGTACTCTTGTTTGGGCCAATGGGATAAAATCTAATTTTAATCTTAGTTTAAAATGGTGTAATATAAATTGGATTTGTATTTCTAAGTAGTATATATGCTGTCATGTATTTTGATTTCATATTTTCACTTCAGTTTTACAGTAAAGTGAAAGCTTTGTCCTGATGTCTCAAAACATTGAATACCATTGTGATTGTGGGTCTAAAAAGGGGCGCCACTTACAAATGTGAGGCAATTGTTGGTAAGTAATAAGAAAAATATTGATACTGGCTGTAGGTTTGTTCTGTAGTTTGCTTTGGTTAAAGTATGTAATATGTTGTTTTGTAATATGCTGTCTGAGAGTTTTTTTCATTGTATTATCAGATGTACCAGACACCTGTCGTCCACTAATCTGCCATTTTGCCTCCAATTGTGTTGATGTAATATTTTATTATTCACAGAAACTTCGTGACTCTGAGGTTCTGCTGTAAGAGACTTTAGTGTCAGCTAATAGATCAGGAAAGCACATCCTGTCCTGCTCTAATATGATGATGGTCTCTGTAGGAGGTTTGGAGTTTGATCCCAAACGGGAGACCTGGGACTCTTTTTGAAGCAGGAGGACAGACTTGAACATCTCTGCTGTACTTCAGTCTCCTTAAACCCACAGAAGCAAACTACTAGCAGAGTCTAGGCCAGGGGTGTCCAGTCTAGGGGTCAGTTTTCATTCCAAACAAGCTGGATCACACCTGATTCCACACGTTAAACCAGTTGGTCTTCATCTTCAACAGCAGATCATGTGAGCTCCTGCTTTGTTGGAATGAAAACGCTGCATCCATACCAGCACTTTGTGGATAAGACTGGACGCCCTGATGTACAAGGTTATTTTCATTCCTGATGGACTACAGGAAGCCGTAGAGGAGAAGGTGAAACTGAACTGAGTCCAGGCTGGTGGTCTCCTCTGTGTGCTGTTTAGTCTGGTCTAAATCAACAGGTCAGACAGAGCTGTTGATTTAGAGCTTACATAACACTTTACATGAATAGCAGTTATAAAGAATCTTAAAATAAGTTTTAAAGACATTTAAAAGAAGCAATCCACATCTTACTAATCTTTACGTTTGGGTGAAACAAAGCTCACTTATGGCCTACTGTAGGTGCAAGTTGTGAAATACAGGTGGGCCTGGGGAGTCCAGGACCCCCTAATTAAAATCCAAATTCTGGGGTGTTCCTGAGAATAAACTTATTATGGTGTTATTCTGTCCATTAGGGGGAAAAGATGCCCAAATCCAGATTCAGTGAAGCTGATTGTTGATCTGCTTCCCCCACAATCAGCTTCTGTCTCTGGTGTTCTTAACTAACTAGAGCTGCAGCACTGCTCTGCCTCAGGGTGGTGCTGTAGCAGACCCAGTTCACCCAGTTGGTCCTTCATAGTCTAGAAACTGTAACTCTGCCCAGATTCCTCTGAAAAACTTTACAATGAGCTGCAGCAGATCTGTAAATCTGAAAACTCGCCAGGTTCCCAAGAGTTTGGAGTGAAGAGTGACTGTTCCTCATTTCTCACACTGAAGACAGAAGAGGAGACGAGGAAGGTCTGCGCCGCTATGGAGAGAGAGTCAGCAGACAGACAACATGGGACCCCCGAATAGCGGGGGGGATTTCACACACTGCATGTTTGTCACAGTGAACACTTTTAAATCTTTTAAAAACAAGTAATATTAGACAGAGAGAACCTTTCAAACTCAAAACATTTTTAGCGTTTTAAATTATTATGTTATTCACGTACAGAGCAAGAGAGAGAGTTAGCAGACAGACAAGGGACCCCCTGAATACCAGAGGGGATTTTACTTAGGCCCAGTCCCATTTCTTCTTTTTTCCCCTACCCCTTGTTTTCGAGTGTCACCCTAACCCCTCAGATCTGAAAGGGTAGTGGTTGAAATCTTGCCCTACGAAAAGGTAAATGATTCCAGCCTTTCTGCAGGGTTTATAATATTTTCCAGATTGAGGCTGGCATTATGGGGAAGCAGGTTTGTAGAGTTTAATTGTGAAGTTCATAAAATCGTTGCTGCTGGAGGCTGATGGTATCTGGGGTTCACTAACTGTTTTGTTCTCTGTTAGTTTAGAGATTGTGCCGAATAGTAATCTAGGATTATTCTTATTGTTGTCTATGAGAGAGGAGAGAGAGGCTGAGCGTGCTGCAGTAAGTGCTCTTCTATAGTCTATAAGGCTCTCCTTCCAGGCAGACTGGAACACTGATATCTTAAATAAACAATGTTCTCTTCAGCCAGTCGCGGTCAGCTGGTCTGTTATTTCGTTTGGACTCCGACACAATTCGACTTCCTCTGTGTTCTACGGTTGCTATGGTGATGTGAAGCGCTTCTCAGCTGACCAATCAGCGAACTGCCCCTGTGACTACTACCCAATCGTAGGGCAGGAGTCGGCGTTTACCGGAATACGGGTGGGATATAAACCCCCAGTGTGAGTCTCACTAAAGTCCAGGTGGGGGCGCTAATTCTATACCCGTGGTTCTCCAAAGATAAAGTAGAGAAAAAGAAGAAGAAGAAGACTTAAACCATCAGGCCCCTGTTGTGATCAGCAGTTCGCTGTTCCGCGCGCGCAGAGTTGCTGGAGGAGAGAAAGAGGAGTTGCTCTATTGTAAGGGCTCTAACACTTTTTCACACTGTATAAACACGGAAAGGCTAAACGTGGCTTAATGTGCTAAAACCACAACACTGAACGTGATGATGCTCATGGAGCTGATGTTATGGAATTGAGGAGCCCAGTCCGGCTCCTGGACATACAGCACCCTGCAGAGTTTCGCTCCAAGCTCCAGGTAATCAGAGCTTTCAGGGAAATCTGAATATAAGAGCCAGGTTAAGGAATAAGGAGACAGATGTGCTGTAACTTTGTCAGATAAGGAGACAGATGTGCTATAATATGTCAGATAAGGAGACAGATGTGCTGTAGCGTCTCAGATGAGGAGACACAGATGCTTCATCAGGAGTTTACAAGTTTGATCAATGACTGAGGAGACAGATGTGCTGTAACGTTGTCAGATAGAGACAGATGTGCTGTAACGTCAGATCAGGAGACATGTGCTGTAACATCAGATCAGGAGACAGATGTCCTGTAACGTTGTCAGATAGAGACAGATGTGCTGTAACGTCAGATCAGGAGACATGTGCTGTAATGTCAGATCAGGAGACAGATGTGCTGTAACGTTGTCAGATCAGGAGACAGATGTGCTGTAACGTTGTCAGATAAGGAGACAGATGTGCTGTAACGTCAGATCAGGAGACAGATGTCCTGTAACGTTGTCAGATAAGGAGACAGATGTGCTGTAACGTCAGATCAGGAGACAGATGTGCTGTAACGTCAGATCAGGAGACAGATGTCCTGTAACGTTGTCAGATAAGGAGACAGATGTGCTGTAACGTCAGATCAGGAGACAGATGTGCTGTAACGTTGTCAGATCAGGAGACAGATGTGCTGTAACGTTGTCAGATAAGGAGACAGATGTGCTGTAACGTCAGATCAGGAGACAGATGTCCTGTAACGTTGTCAGATAGAGACAGATGTGCTGTAACGTCAGATCAGGAGACAGATGTGCTGTAACGTCAGATCAGGAGACAGATGTCCTGTAACGTTGTCAGATAAGGAGACGTGCCAGATAAGGAGACAGATGTGCTGTAACATCAGATCAGGAGACAGATGTGCTGTAACGTTGTCAGATAGAGACAGATGTGCTGTAACGTCAGATCAAGAGACAGATGTGCTGTAACGTCAGATCAGGAGACAGATGTGCTGTAACGTTGTCAGATAAGGAGACAGATGTGCTGTAACTTTGTCAGATCAGGAGACAGATGTGCTGTAACTTTGTCAGATCAGGAGACAGATGTGCTGTAACTTTGTCAGATCAGGAGACAGATGTGCTGTAACTTTGTCAGATAAGGAGACAGATGTGCTATAATATGTCAGATAAGGAGACAGATGTGCTGTAACATCAGATCAGGAGACAGATGTGCTGTAACGTTGTCAGATAAGGAGACAGATGTGCTGTAACGTTGTCAGATAGAGACAGATGTGCTGTAACGTTGTCAGATCAGGAGACAGATGTGCTGTAACGTCAGATCAGGAGACAGATGTCCTGTAACGTTGTCAGATAAGGAGACGTGCTGTAACATTGTCAGATAAGGAGACAGATGTGCTGTAACATCAGATCAGGAGACAGATGTGCTGTAACGTTGTCAGATAGAGACAGATGTGCTGTAACGTCAGATCGAGACAGATGTGCTGTAACTTTGTCAGATCAGGAGACAGATGTGCTGTAACGTCAGGTCAGGAGACAGATGTCCTGTAACGCTGTCAGAAAAGGAGACAGATGTGCTGTAACGTTGTCAGATCAGAAGATAGATGTGTTGTAACATTGTCAGATAAGGAGACGGATGTGCTATAATATGTCAGATGAGGAGACGGATGTGCTGTAACGTTGTCAGATCAGGAGACAGATGTGCTGTAACGTCAGGTCAGGAGACAGATGTGCTGTAACGTCAGGTCAGGAGACAGATGTCCTGTAACGCTGTCAGAAAAGGACACAGATGTGCTGTAACGTTGTTAGATAAGGAGACAGATGTGCTGTAACGCTGTCAGATCAGGAGACAGATGTGCTGTAACATCAGATAAGGAGACAGATGTGCTGTAACGTTGTCAGATAAAGAGACATACATACATACATCATCTAAACCGCTTATCCTTCTGGGTCACGGTGGGGTGCTGGAGCCTATCCCAGCTGTCATTGGGCGGAAGGCAGGATACACCCTGGACAGGTCGCCAGTCCATCGCAGGGCAGACAGACAGACACACACATTCACACCTAGGGGTAATTCAGCACGTCCAATCGGCCTGACTGCATGTCTTTGGACTGTGGGAGGAAACCGGAGAACCCGGAGGAAACCCACGCAGACACGGGGAGAACATGCGAACTCCACACAGAAATGACCCAGGTCGCCCGGCTGGGAATCGAACCCAGGCCCTTCTTGCTGTGAGGCGTCAGCGCTACCCACTGCGCCACCGTGCCGCCCTGATAAAGAGACAGATGTGCTGTAATGTTGTCAGAAAAGGAGACAGATGTGCTGTAACGTTGTTAGATAAGGAGACAGATGTGCTATAATGTTAGATAAGGAGACAGATGTTCTGTAACGTTGTCAGATCAGTAGACAGATGTGCTGTAATGTCAGATAAGCATAAGGAGACAGATGTGCTGTAACTGTCAGATCAGGAGACAGATGTGTTGTAAGATCAGATCAGGAGACAGATGTGCTGTAACGTTGTCAGATAAGGAGACAGATGTGCTGTAACTTTGTCAGATAAAGAGACAGATTGCTGTAACGTTGTCAGATAAAGAGACAGATGTGCTGTAACGCTGTCAGAAAAGGAGACAGATGTGCTGTAACATTATCAGATAAGGAGACAGATGTGCTGTAACGTCAGATCAGGAGACACATGCTGTAACATCAGATTAGGAGACAGATGTGCTGTAACGCTGTCAGAAAAGGAGACAGATGTGCTGTAACGTTGTCAGATCAGGAGACAGATGTGCTGTAACGTTGTCAGATCAGGAGACACATGCTGTAACATCAGATTAGGAGACAGATGTGCTGTAATGCTGTCAGAAAAGGAGACAGATGTGCTGTAACGTTGTCAGATCAGGAGACAGATGTGCTGTAACGTTGTCAGATCAGGAGACACATGCTGTAACATCAGATTAGGGGACAGATGTGCTGTAACGCTGTCAGATCAGGAGACAGATGTGCTGTAACATCAGATCAGAAGAGAGATGTGCTGTAGTGTCTCAGATGAGGAGACAGAGATGCTTCATCAGGAGTTTATAAGTTTGATCACTGAGATCCCACATCAATCCAGGAATCCCAGAGAGCATAACTGTCTTCACTTCTCCCTCAATTACTCATCACTGTGCTAGCCAGTGTGGTTGTCTGTTAACTGATGTAACAGAATAAGGAGTTTGTGTTCCTTTAGCTTGATGCTAACATAACACTGGAAATGTCAATAGTTTCACTAATGGAAATTAGCATTATGCTAGCAGTAGAAATCTGGTTTCTGCGTGAATAGTTGATATATTTACAATTAGCACATTCATGATTTCTGAATATACACTAAATGGACAAAAGTATTGGGACACCTACAGGAGCTATTATGAATCCCATTCTAAATCCACAGGCATTAATATGGAGTTGGTCCCCCTTTGCAGCTCTAACAGCTTCCACTCTTCTAGGAAGCTTCTTCAAGATTTTGGAGTCTGTCTGTGGGAATTTTTGTCCATTCATCCAGAAGAGTTTTTGTGAGGTCAGACACTGATGTTGGACGAGAGGGTCTGGCTCACAATCTCCATTCTAGTTCATCCCAAAGGTGTTGGATGGGGTTGAGGTCAGGGCTCTGTGAGGGCCAGTCAAGTTCTTCCACACCAAACTCACCCAGTCAGGCCTTTATGGAGCTGCTTTGTGCACTGGGGCTCAGTCATGCTGGAACAGGAAAGGTTCTTCCCCAAACTGTTCCCACAAAGTTGGAAGTGTACAACTGTCCAAAATGTCTTGGTGCTGAAGCATTAAGATTTCCCTTCACTGGAACTAAGGGTTCTAGACCAACCCCTGAAAAACACTCCCATAGCATCATCCCTTCTCCACCAAACTTTACAGCTGGTTTCTGCTTGTACATCTGTGCTGGAGCTCTGGTGCAATGGCATTAAAAGCTGAGCATAAACAGAACTATAGTGCTGGTTCCAGGACTGTCAAGATGCTGTAGCATGAAGTGCAGGGCCAAGTTAACCCTTCATCAACATACCTGTTAGCTCTGTATGCAAATTGCAGCAGATCCATCAAAGGGTTTGGAATGGCCTTCAGGTGGGCTAGGACCAGGTGTTCAAAGATTTTCATGACTGCAGAGGTCAGGGATACTGGCCTGTAGCTGTTAAGTCCAGTAATGTTAATTTTTTTGTGGAAGATATTAAAAGAAAGACTATATAATTTAAAATTATAAAAGAGTAAAATAGAAAATTGTGCAAATTAATGTAAACATCTTGTAATATCCCATGAGTAAGTTTTGGAAAGGTGCTGGTAGACACTCTATTCCTGTGTTGTTGGTGCCTGGATGGCAGTGTGCAGTGTCAGTGTTGGGCAGCGTTCAGTTTTCTTATTGCACTGGGATAGAAGCTGTTGTTAAGTCTGTTTGTCCGTGATGTGATGGACCTGTAGCATCTGCCTGATGGTGACAGGTCGAACAGATACCAGGATGAGATGGATCTTTCAGGGTGTTAGCTGCCCTGCTAAGGCAGCGGGGCCTGAAAACCTCCTCCAATGAGGGCAGCGGGCAGCCGATGATCTTCTGGGCTGTGCTGATAACTCTCTGAAGAGCTTTCCTGTCCGCTGCTGAGCTGCTGGTGTACCATGTGGAGATGCCATATATATGCACGCTTTCAATGGAGCAGCGGTTCTAAGACACCAGAAGCTTCTCTTGCAGGTTGTTTTTCCTGAGGTTTCTTAGAAAGTAGAATCGCTGCTGTCCCCATTGATGTAAAATGGCTCTGGTTTTGTTCTTTCTGAAGTCTATGATGTTCTTTGGTTTTTGAGGAGTTTAGGGTGAGATTGTTCTCTGAACACCACAGAGCCAGTCCTTGGACTTCATCTCTGTAGGCTGTCTTGTCTCCTCCAGAGATAAGTCCAATCACAGTTGTGTCGTCTGTGAATTTGATTATGGTGTTGGTGGGATGGGTGGGGGCACAGTCATGAGTGTAGAGGTCGTAGAGAAGGGAGCTCAACACACAGCCTTGAGTGTGATGGTGGTGGAGAGGTCGGGGCCAAGTCTAATAGTCTGGGTGCGATTGGACAGGAAGTCCTTGATCCAGTTGCTGATGGGTTGGGAAAGTCCTCTGTCAGTGAGCTTAGTGATCCGTCTGCCTGGGATGAGTGTATTAAAGGCAGAGCTAAAGTCTATGAAAAGTTCCCCTGGTGTTCAAGGGGTGTCAGTGCTGTATGAAGAGCGGTGGCGATGGCGTCTTCTGTGGACCCTGTAGGCAAACTGGTGTGGGTCGAAGCTTGGTGGGAGGCTGGCTTTGATGTGCTTCAGGACCTTCCCTAATGCATTCCTTTAGGTTGGTCCTGGCAGCTCTGTGTAAGGCTTTGTCCCCAGACCTGAAGGCGGTGTTGCGGGTTTTTAGGAGTATTTTAACCTCCTTTGTCATCCAGGGTTTCTGGTTTGGGTTCACCCGGAGGTATTTTTGGACTGTGACATTGTCCACGCAGTTCTGTATGTATCAGAGAATAGCTGTGATGTGTACTTTTCCAAGTCTTGGTCTTCAAAGATGTTCCAATTTGTTTTTTCAAAGCAGTCTTGCAGCTGTAAGGAAGCTCCATTTGGCCATGACTGAACAGTCCTTGTGGTTGGTTGAGCTTTCCTTCTGTGGGGGTGTATGCTGGAGTAAGGAATAATGAGTAGTGATTAGACTGGCCTAGGTGAGGGAACCAGAGTGAGGGAAGACAGATAAAGGCTGAAGATTGTCCTTTGAACATTCAAATCTGCAGTAGAAATTTCTGTGTGTGTTTTTGCATATAGTTCTCTTTAAATGAGTTTAACTCAGTTCTGTAAAAGGGAACCTGAAAGGGAAGCAGCAGCAAATGACCTCACTATTTTTGTGTTCACATGCAAATTTAAATGGAGACACTGTTCTCTTTCTTGTCCTTTTTAGCACTGAAAAGATCTCAGACCAGTTGCTGTTCACACTAAAACTCCTTTAGAACTCAGGCATCACCAAGGAAATGTCAGATTTTGGCTAGTGTCAAGTTCATCATAAACACCAACCGACCACTTCATTAAGTCCGCCTCCTTGTTTCTACACTCGTCCATTTTATCAGCTTCACTGACCATATGGTTTCACTTTGTAGTTCTACAGTTACAGACTGTAGTCCATCTGTTTCTCTGATACTTTGTTACCCTGTTTTTCAGTGGTCAGGACCCCCACAGAGCAGGTACTATTTGGGTGGTGGGTCATTCTCAGCACTGCAGTAACACTGATGTGGTGGTGGTAGGTTAGTGTATGTTGTGCTGGTGCGAGTGGATCAGACACAGCAGTGCTGCTGGAGTTTTATACATGGTCCACTCACTGTCCACTTTATTAGACACTCCTACCTTGTCAGTCCACCTTGTAGATGTAAAGTCAGAGATGATAGCTCATCTTCTGCACAGCTTGTGTTGGTCATCCTCTAGTCCTTCATCAGTGGTCACAGGATGCTGCCCACAAGACGCTGTTGGCTGGATATTTTTGGTTGGTGGACTATTCTCAGTCCAGCAGTGACACTGAGGTGTTTAAAAACTCCAGCAGTACTGCTGTGTCTGATCCACTTGCAAAATCCATAGTGTGGTATACCTGTTAGATTTTTTCCACTTTTCAAAATTTTTTGGTTTAAAGTTTTGTTTTGAATTCGACAGCCAGTTCAAACCACTTGTTAGCAGTTAAGGTTTTTTTTGTATTTAATCATGGGCATCATAAAATGTCTTAGCAATGTAAAAAGTACTCAATAAGTCAACTGTTCATACCCATCACAAGAATAACTTTAAAGGTAACTTTCAGTTGAAATACTGGCAGAAACAAAAATCACTGTAGATACATGAACACAGATGTAAGACATTATTTTAATGCTTTCAGAAGAGATGGCTCATCTGCATTTGAGGAAAGCGAGTGAAAGTTTGTTCTACCACTTGAGCTCCAGACAGACAAGAGTCTTAATGCTTGTCTTCCATGCATCTTGAAACTGTCCTCAAGTGGCTCAAGGTGCAGATCAGATTTTAACCATTACCGCCAGGTAGGGAGGGGCTGGTGCATTTTTGGCTCGGGGTTTAAAATCTGATGTGACAGGTACACACTAATGGATTGATCTGAGTGAACTGAGACTGCATTCTGGACCAGTCAAAGAACCTGATGGCCCATAGAAGAAGACCAGGCAGGAGAGAGTTGCAGTACTCAAGTCTCGGAAGTGACAAGCCTGAACAAGCATCTGGGTGGCCTCCCTAGAGATAATGAGTGGTATTCCATGGATATAGAGGAGAGACCTGCATGACTGAGACAGGTTTGCAAAATGTGCTGAGAATGATAGCTGGTCGTCCACAACTACACCAAGGCTTTGTGCTTCTGCATGCAGAATAACCAGAAAGTTCTTAAAGGAGGTGACAAGTCTGTGGTTAGAAACTGTAATTCCATGCTTAGGTTTTAGTTTAGATGTTTAGATGCCACCATGATGAGATGTTAGCCACAGATGCTGAAATGCAATTAATTTATCAAAAATGCAGATTCGAAGATTAAACATCTGTACACGTCATTAGGAGTGATGCAATTATTTTGTTTTGCAGACCTGACCAGTCTGTGAGCAGCTTTAACAGATCTTTCTTGGTCCTCCAGGTTTTGACTCAACTTCCAACAGTTTCCATTTGCTTCTGTTTCTGACAGATAAAAAATGCATGTTTTTATTTGCTTTTTAACAGCTGCATGTTGTTGATGTTGGGGAGTAATTCCAACCACTATCACCTTTCTTTTCTCTCTCTTTCAGGAAAAAAATCGCTTCTTGCTGCAAGTCGTCTACTGCTCCTAGTGTTTTGTTTATTTATTCCTACAAAAGTACATTCCATCAGGAGGACTACATAAAACTTCTGAAATCAAGGCTTTCAAGATTCAAAATTTCCAAGTTCTCCGCAAACAGCCTCTGGTCCTCTACAACATAACACGTTTCTCTGACTAATGGAGGAAAACACAGACAAAAAGAGAACTCACTATTGCCTGGACTGTGGGAAGAGTTTTACTCTACAGAGTAATCTTCAACGACACAAACTTGTTCACACAGGAGAGAAACCGTATCGCTGCACAGAGTGTGGGATAGGATTTACTCAACAGACTCATCTCCAAAGACACCAACTGATCCACACAGGAGAGAAGCCGTATGCCTGCTCAGAATGTGGGAAGAGTTTTACTCAAAAACATAGTCTCCAAGTCCACCAGCGCATCCACACAGGAGAGAAACCGTATCACTGTTCAGAGTGTGGGAAGAGTTTTAATCGACAGAGTCATCTCCAAGCACACCAGCACGTTCACACAGGAGAGAAACTGTATCGCTGCTCAGAGTGTGGAATGAGTTTTAGTCAACAGAATAATGTACGACTACATCAGCGCATTCACAGAGGAGAGAAACCGTATCAATGTTCAGAGTGTTGGAAGAGTTTTGGAGATATTGGTACTCTAAACAAACACCAGCGCATTCACACAGGAGAGAAACCGTATCACTGCTCTGAGTGTGGAAAGAGTTTTAGTCAACAGAGTAATCTCCGACTACACCAGCGTATTCATACAGGAGAGAAACCGTATCATTGCTCAAAATGTGGGAAGAGTTTTAATCGACAGAGTCATCTCCAAACACACCAGCGTGTTCACGCAGGAGAGAAACCATTTCACTGCTCAGAGTGTGGAAAGAGTTTTACTCAAAAACATACTCTCCAAATCCACCAACGTGTTCACACTGGAGAGAAACCGTATCATTGCTCAGGGTGAGCAGCGCTTTAGGCATTTAACATCTACAAAGATACAAAAGTGCACCAAGAGGAAGGCAAAAACCTCTGATGTATGAGTGTATGAGTAAAACATTAATTATATAATGGGGGTTGCATAAACTAGTCAGCCAGTAAGTTGAGACAGTGCTTGAAATACAGCAGTGATAAAAACTGCAGGTGAGAAGAGACATCAGTTTTCCTGCTGATCACAAAGCCTAAAGTATTGAGTTTCTACATGGAATTTCACTGCAGTCTGTGTAAGACTTCAAAAACAATCTCCTTAAGGCAGATGGGCACACAAACAGCAGTTCCTCCGTTAGCGAGAACATTTATGAGTCTCAGAGGGATTATCACTCACAGCTAGTGTTAGCTTGTTCTCTCAGCTGTATGAGAGTTCCTCAGTCTGAAAGACATTTTCATTTGCCGATACAGAGCCCATTCCCAGCTGAGTGAAAGTTCATCACATCCGGGTACTCCTCAGTAGACACTTCATTTTGGTACCAATATCTGCACATATTTATTCAGTATTGTCATTATATGCCGTAACCTGTGCTTCCTTGTACAGTCATTATTGCACTGCGTCTTTTCATCTCAGGTTAAAGATATTTTTCCAGGTTGTTGTATTTTTATATTTGTATATATGTCTGTAGATAGGATTTTTTTATATTTATTCTTCCTGTTATATTGTTTACATCCTTATTACTATCACTGTCCTGTGTTGTGTGACTGATACTGGCTGCAAAATTTCCTTCAGGATCAATAAAGTATCTATCTATCTATCTATCTATCTATCTATCACAAAGGGCATTTTAACTCTCAGCTCCAGAGGTTAGTTTGTCACCAGCTGAAATAGTCAAGTCAAAGTTTAATTATATAACGCTTTTTACAGCAGGTGCTGTCACAAAGCAGCTTTACAGAAAAATCCGGGTCTGAGCCCCCATGAGCGTCGCCAATGATGACAGTGGCAAGGGAAAACCCCCTAAGAGCAAGAGGAAGAAACCTTGAGAGGAACCAAGACTCAAAAGGGGAACCCATCCTCCTCTGGTCGACACCGGATAGCAAACAGCGTTAGTATAAAATATTATAATACAAAACGGGGAAAAACAGGCGGAGCAACGGTTAATTAGATAGTTTGAGTTTATACAGCAGCAGCAGGAGGGTCAGTTCATGAAGGTGAGGTTTGTGCAGCATTGTACAGCGTGAAGCTCCATGGTGGTCAAAATGGTGCAGATCAGCCAACAGAGATGGAGCTACAGAAATAAAGGTTAGACGTCTCTGTAAAATTAACTCTTTGGGACTGAGAAACTTCCTCTCTGCCAGCAACAGCCTGATCTCCATAGCAGTGAGTGAAAATGTGCTTTTAATAGTTTGAGTTCAAAGGACATTCTCACCACCGCAGAGGTTCGCTTGTTGCTGGTTGAGAGAAAACCTCTGAGTGTGAAGCACGTTTTCACTCACTGCTATGGAGATCAGGCTGTTGCTGGCAGAGAGGAAGTTTCTCAGTCCCAAAGAGTTAATTTTACAGAGACGTCTAACCTTTATTTCTGTAGGGTCACAAATGCAGGAGCATTATATGGTTGCTGATCCAATTTTATACATTCCTTAATCAGTTAATCAAAATATTCTTTACTTAGTTAATCATTTATCCATCAGTAAATCTGTCTAATTGTAACCAATCACACACCCTGCACAGTGACTCATGTAACTCTCTTTTCTTTGGAGATCTTCTTTCCAGCTGTTATTGGAATAAACATACTGACTTGAGTTTAACTTGGTTTTTGTGTTTAGCAGATATCATTTTTACAATACATGCTTAAATATGATGGTCATCTTTTTATGATCATTTTGAGGTTGTTTTTATGACCATCCATTCTAGATGCTATGCTGAACGCTTTATTCCATATAAACATGTCTCCAGTGACTGCTGAGCATAGGGAAGGATTACTGACCAGGCCAATGTCCGGGGGCCTCTGACCACTCAAGGGGGCTCAAATATTCAGGACAATCCACTGCAAATACAAACAATCAAGGAACGAACGTTCAAATAATAGAGACGGTCTTATTGCTTATTATTTCAGCATTTTTTCATTTTTCATTTTTATTTTTTCATTTAAAGTAATCTCATTTAATCATGCATGAATCTCTAACATACAATGCATTTGAAAAGTCTTCAGACCCTTTCACTTTTTTCACAGTTTATGTTGCGGACTTGTGCTAAAATTTAAAAAAAAAAAAAAATTACGTTTTTACCCATCATTCTGCACTTAGTAACCCATAATGACAAAGTGAAAACACAATTTTAGAAATGAGAATTTTTTGCTAATTTATTGAAAAGGAAAAACTATAATATTGCATTGACATAAGAATTCAGGCTACTCAGTACTTGGTTGAAGCTCCTTTGGCAGCGATTACAGCCTCTAGTCTTCTGGACAATTCCTGGACTCCAGCCTGGACTATTCACACAAGAAAAGTTGTGTCCATGGATGAATTCATGCTGTTGGTGCCAAATGCTGATCCTGCCCTCTGTGAGCCTCAGCAGAAATCAAGATTCATCAGACCAGGCTACCTTTTTCCAGTCTTCAACTGTCCAGTTTTAGTGAGCCTGTTCCAGAGTAGAACCCTCTACTTTACCCTCGCCACCTCTTCTAGTAAATGGAAATGCAGTATTGAAAGATGTAGTTTCAACTCATTTAAAATTGTGTTTAATGATGTCTTGTATTATGTATCTTGTAACATAAATTCTATTGATGATTATTCAGTGAACATGAAATAGCAAAGTGGTGAACAGGCTAAGTGAAAAGTGAAAGAAATGCATTCTAAATGTTTACCATTCAAATGTTTTTTTTTTTGTTTGTTTTTGATGTTGAATATCTATTCCGCAGCAGCATTTTTATTAAAACTTTTTGTGATTGACCAAAATCACAAAAAAAAACACCCAAAAAATGCTCATCTTATCCTATTGAAGGCTTATCATCAGTGCTCTGCTGCTCCTGGTAAAGTGTTTTATAATGTCCAAATGTACGAAATCCCGGCCTGAAAAACAAATATTCAACTTCTGCTGCGCTCTGTGGTTGCTATGGTGATGTGAAGCGCTTCTCAACTGACCAATCAGCGGACTGCTCCTGTGAATTACTACCCAGTCGTAGCGCAGGAGGCGGGGTTTACCGGAATACGGGTGGACGTATGAATCCCTTTGCAGTTCGTGTGGGGGCGATAGCTCTGTAACCGTGGTTCTCCAAAGACAATAAAGCGGAGAAGAAGAGGATCCTGTCGCAATCAGCTGGCACATGTGCACAGTGTTATTGGAGGAGAGAAGCAGGAGCTGCTGTGTTGTAAGTAGGGGCTCTAACACTTTTTCACACTGTTTACTCTGTGTTTAACTGATCTTTGGAGAAAAAGGAGCTGCTGTATAGTAAGTAGGGGCTCTAACACTTTTTCACACTCTTTACTCTGTGTTTAACTGATCTTTGGAGAAAAAGGAGCCGCCCCACTGTAAATAAGGCTGTATGAACACTGGGTGAGTCTTTAATCTGGATACAGTCAGACGGTCTTTGCTTTCCTCAGTTCTGTCCTCAGCAAACAGAGACAGTAAAACACTGTAGACTGTTTTTATGCCAGTTTAAAGTTTTGCTGTCTGTCAGTTGAAATGTTTCATTTTAATTATTTCGCTGTAAATGTTATTTTAGCCTAAGCAACACATCATCACTGTTGCAACAGAACCTCTGTTTCCAAAGTGTCTCCAAAGAGGTAAGTTTACAATGTAAAGAGCAGTTGTTGATATCAAATTATGACTAAATATGAAAAACGGTGAAAATGGAGATGTAGGTTTTTGTCCTGATAGCAACAATATGCAAATCATGTATAATCTTGTAGTTTCAGTAGTTCATGATTTATGTAAGATAATTTAAAAAATGATGCAGATTTTGTTCAGACTTGGCTGAGAAGTCAGACACCTGTGATTTTGGGTGATCATAATGTTTTATAGTTTATAGTTTTTATTGATTTATTTAGGATTTATATTCTATCCCTGCTAACAAAATCAGCATATCATCGCTGTCCAAATAAAATATAAGTATGTCCATTTTTGGAATTTTTATTTTTCTGCATTATTTGAACATGGTAGCTGTTCTTTACATTGTGAGTAAACTTCATGATGAAAAGAGCAGAAACGTCCCAAAATCCCTTGGAATGAAATTTCTTCACGTTACCTTCTATTAACTTCTTTACAAAATGGCCTGTAATGTTTCCCTTTTGGAAATGTTTTCCTTTGGACAGCATAATTAGCTTTCTGGACACTGGTCAACATCAATGACCATGCTGGCTGACCAGCAAAACCCAGTTTATTTCAGCTTAGTCCAGAGTAGACCAGCATAAACCAGTTTAGTCCAGTTCTGAATACATCCTGGTCCTTGCTGTTTTTAGCAGGGATGTGCTGAATTGAACTTCACCAAGTTTGTCACAAAGCCAAAGGCTTCTCCTTTGTGTTTCTTTTGCTCTTTTGTGTGCTAAATATATAAAGTCTTTCATTTTCTTAATGGCTGGTTTTTGGGGCTGATGGTGGTGCTGGCTAGGTGTGTAAAGATCTGGGTAGTTCACTGTAGAACTGTATATTCTGGCAGATCATCACCCAGAATCTTTTAATTAACCTGTAAAATGTGCTGATACTTTTTAAATTTCATATAAACATTTACACACCAACACTACATGCAGCGATTCAGCATTGCCGACTGGGTGTCATGAACTAAACCATAAAAACAAACAAACAAAATAAGAAACCAGTGTAACAGAAAAAAATAGAAAATAATTGATTCTTCAGTAATGGCGTTCTTAAAGTCCTCTGCACATTTCCTCACGAGTTACAGGCTCAGTGGACCCGAACTATTAAAGCAGTCAGTTTACATTTTAAGTTAATATGATTATCGAATTGAATGGCCGTTTTTTTTTTTTACAGAGATTTCAGGCAGTCACGCCTGCCTATTCTCTCTCATTCTCTCTCTCTCTCTCTGATTTTGTCGCAGCGCCAAGACGAGAAAAAGACTCACTTAAGACCGCCATCTTGACCACCTTAGTCCAAGCGATCGAGACGACGCGAATCTAACAAGACTCTCGTGATTTTATCCCGACATGGATAACCTGTGAAATCGCTTGAAAAGTCGTTTGGTGTCAGGCCGGCTGACGCCGCCTCAGCTGGAGTGGAGCTGTGAGGGCGGATCTCAGCAGGTTTCGTGTTCGGCCGCTGATAATAACGCTGTTTTCTTTAGCTCGTGTGAAAATAAATACAGATGACCGTTTGGATGGTCAGTTCCTCGTGTGTGCTGGTTCAGGTCTCCTCTGTCCTTCTTCACTAAACTGGACATCTCTGTACTGTTTTTCCTGTTGGAGCTGCTGTTTTTTGATTGGTGAATCTTTTCATTTTAACCGCCCTTCGTTCGTATTGGTGTCTGAGCTGATTCGCTCATCATTTATTTTTACTCTTTAACGTTATGAAGATTAAAGTAGCGAAGTAAAAGTATTTTATTAAAAATGAACTCAAATATGAGTAAAAGTACTATGATTTTAATCCTACCGTTACAGGGAAAACTGTACTCAAATACAGTAAGGAGAGTAAATGTAATTCGTTACTTAAACCTCTGGACTATTTAATATATTTAATATACAATGATAGTACAGTAAATACATATTGAAAACGACTGCATTTTTAATTGGCAAGTCAGTATTTCCTTTTTGAATTTCATGTTTTAAAATGTACAGGAATAATTGTAAGTGGGGTTTGGTGGTATCCTTTTTTTCATATGTTCATATGTAACCCCACTGTTCTGGTCCCTCAATAAGGCAAGTGCAACAAGAAGTTGGTTCTGAGCTTTTACTGGAGTCACGTCTGCTGGAGCCTGTTTGAGTATAATCAGAGGAAATACAGCAGCTAGTTAGTATTGTGCTTCTCCACTCTAACAGCATATCTCTTCAGTGGGAAAACCGGACTGAGCTTGCAGTAATTACAATATGAATCTTTACAGCATAGACTCAGCTCTTCAGTATTAAACAGCTCAGCTTATTTGGTTGTACAATAAAACAGCAAAAACAAAAGAATACAACACAATGTGGAATACCGCACAAAGCTAAAGAAATACAATATGCATACCTGTTTGAGTATAATCAGAGGAAATACAGCAGCTAGTCAGTATTGTGCTTCTCCACTCTAACAGCTATAAGGCACCAAAGAAATCACATCAGTTCAATATAGCATTCAGACCACATGGGGCGCAGAGCTAGCATAGCTAGCTGTGGCTGAAAAATAGTTACACCTCGTACTTAGCAACCTTTTCAATAACACAAATGAAGCGATACCAATAAAAACTAAAAACGTACATACTGTTACTTCAACGTACCGATTATTGCCTGAAAGTACAACAACAAAACTCATAAATACTTAAATAGAGAGGAGAAGACGTCTGAGCCTACCATATCTCTTCAGTGGGAAACCGGACTGAACCGGATATAGTAGGAAGCTGCTTTATAAAATACGCAATACTCCCTCTGACCAACGGGTGTCGCTGTGTGCCCACAGAAACATACGTTCAATTGTATTCTCTTTTAGAACTAATTTTGGCGAATTCTATTAAAGTAAGCTTACTTAAAATAAAATGTTATTTATTTTTCTGTTACACATATATCTCTAAATATTCCTCTTATACATAATCTATAAAATATTTAGGAATACATAAAAGAATCTTCTTCAAAATGTTTACAGTTTTTAGCATAAAAAAAATCACATAATGTTACAAATAAAACGTAGGGGAGTTAGCTGTTAGGCTTGCTGTGTCACGCTGACCAAGACCTTTTTAGCCAAAACTTAATGTGCGAGTGGTGTTCTGCATGTCATTTTGTTTGACCCCAAAGTAAAATACAGCAACTCCAATAGAGTGAATTTACTAAAAGCCATTAAACAGCCATCATTTTTCATCAGTTCTTTTTTTAATTAAACTTTGTATTCATTATACTGTTTTTGGAAAAACTGGAGTCAGGGCACAGTCAGTGATGTCTTTGTCAGATTTATCTAAAGAATTTGATGGACATAAACAGAATTTCTGATGCAGAAGAAAAATGTAATGTATTATTGATTAAAACTTTTAAATTGGTTAAAACGAAAGGAAAATAAAAGAAATAAATAACTGAAAGTTAAAGATACTGAAACACGGCTGGTTCCAGTTTGGCCGTCACTCTCTGTTTCTAAAACATAGATGACAGCTACCGCTGACCTTGTAGCGAATCCCTCTGAATACCGAGGTTAACCCTTTTTAAGCTACTTCTCATCGGATCAGTACTTTAGACCAGTCACAGAATTTATTTAAACCTCACAAGTGCATGAACTGGACAAACGTCAAAGGTAACACGAGCTGTTCTACAACCCCATTTCCAAAAAGGTTGGGACGCTGTGCAGAATGTAAATATGAATAGGATGCAATGATATGCAAATCATGTAAACCATATTTTTATAGGAAAATACTACATAGACCACATATCAAATGTTGAAACTGAGAAATTTTATTGTTTTTTGAAAAATATTTGCCCATTTTGAATTTAATGCCTTTACATTACAGAAAAGTTGGGACGGGGGCCTGTTTACCACTGTGTTTCATCACCTCTTCTTTAACAACACTCTGTAAATGTTTGGGAACTGAGGAGACACTGCTGTAGTTGTAGTTTTTCTTATTCTTCTTTGATACAGGATTTCAGCTGCTCTACAGTTCAGGGGCTCATTTGTGATATTTTTCATTTCATAATGTGCCAAAGGTTCTCAGTGGTGACAGGTCTGGACTGCAGGCAGGTCAGTTTTGTGCCCGGACTCTTATAAAACAGAGCAATGCTGCTGTAATACATGCAGAATGTGGTTTGACATCGTCTTGCTGAAATAATCAAGGCCTTCCCTGAAAAAGATGTCGTCTGGATGGCAGCATATGTTGCCAAAACATGTACATATTGTTCAGCATTAATGGTGCCTTCACGGATGTGCACGTCACCCATGCCATGTGCACTAATGCCCCCCTATACCATCGTGAATACTGGCTTTTGAACTGTGCACTGATAACAAGCTGAGTGGTCTTTATCCCAGAGGACACAGTGTCCATGATTTCCAAAAAGAATTTCAAATGTTGATTCGTCAGACCACAGGACATTGTGATGAAAGCAAAGTTGTTTGCTATTTTACATTGAGAAACGTTATTCTTGAATTGTTGCACTATTTTATCGTGCTGTTTTTCACAGAGTGGTGAACCCCTCCTCATCTTTACTTCTGAGCCTCTCTGAGATGCCCATTCATGTTACTGACCTGTTGCCAATTAACCACCAGGTGTTTTAAGGCATTACACAACCTTACCAGCCTTTTGTTGCCCCCGTCCCATTCAAAATGGGCAAATATTTTTTGAAAAACAATACAATTTCTCAGTTTCAACATTTGATTTCTTGTCCTTGTACTATTTTCAATGAAATATAGGGTTTAAATGATTTGCACATCATTGCATTTTGTTTTCATGTACATTTTAACTCTGCATTTAACAAGGTAAAATCACACAGGCTCTTACATCTTACTGCTTTAAAATGTCAGTGCTGCTGTCTTGTCCCGAGATCGCAGGCAGGCTTTATCCCAAGTAGTACCTTATGTATGATCTTTAGTAGTATGTATTTACTTACTAAAGTGCTGAAAAACTGTCGTTTATGTACGGTAAGCCTCAAAGTCTTTCACGATAAAGCAAAACACAAAGTAAACTGCTTCCATTTTGTTTTCACAATGTACAAATTCATAGGACCACAAAATGAACTACAGCCTAACCGTCCTGAGTTTCGTTCCTTTGTAGGACCATTTGGAGGGTCTGAGTTCATTTGACATGTTCGGCTAAGCACAGAAAACCATGATTCAGCCACTTTAGCTGCCAAAATGGTGAAAAAGTGTAAAAAAACCTTCTTAGACAGCAGAATTCTTCTTTTATTTTTTCAAAGGCATATTTTTTCCTGTACTGCTTTTTTATTGTCTTTCACACCTTCCACATTCATGAAGAATCATAGAACAGACCTCAGCCTGGACAGTTCTCATCTTTATTTGTAGAGATTTCCTTTTCTTTCTTTTTAGGCAGTGATTTCAGGGTTTGTCTGTCATCTGGCACTAATGATTTTTCTTTGTAGCTGATATCAACCTAAGTAACTGAAAATAGATTACATTTTTAAGAAAATTCCATTTTAGTTAAGAAGCTTGCTGCTTAGCACACAAGCTCAGGCTGTTAAATGCAAATGATCTTCAGGCCTTCAGAAGGCATTGCATGAGAAACAGCTTTTTAGCTGGGCTCAGGAGTATTTCAGATAACCGTTGTCACTTAACACAGTCCGACACAGCATCAAGAAATGCAACGTAAAACTATTACACAAGGAGAAAGCCATATCTCGGTTATATGCAGAAACACTGCTCAGTTCTCTGGCACCAAGCTCATCTCAGAGCATCTGAAAGATAGTGGAAATGTGTGCTGTGGTCGGTCCACATTTCAGCTTGTTTCTGGGAAAAACGTACAGTTAGTTATCTGTGCCAAAGACGAATGGCACCATCCAGACTTTTACAGCAAAAGGTCACCATTTGTCATGGTAAGGGGGTGAAGCAGTGCCCATGGCATTGGCATGTGTGTGAAGGTACCATTAAAGCGAAGATGTGTATTGGGATTTTAGAGAGACATATGCTGTCATCAAGACGACGTCTTTTCCCGGGATGTCCATGGTTATTTCATCAAGACAATGTCAAGCCTCACTGTGCATGTGCTTGACTGGTCTGCCTGCAGTCCAGGTCTGTCACCTTTTGAATGTGTATGATGCATAATGAAGAGGAGATTCACACAACCATAACCATGGACTGCTGAGCAGCTTAAGGGTTGTATCGAGCAAGAATGGGCAAAAATTCCATTGCAGCAACTAGTTTCCTCAGTTCCCACACAGTGGTGAACATGATTCTGTCCCAACTTATTTGAATGTGTTGTAGGCATAAAATTGTAAATTTGTTTATGTTAACACAATACAATGAAGTTAGGCAGTGAAAGCATTGGAAATGTTTTCTTTGTGCTTTTGTCAGTGAAAGAACGAAGGGTGAAGAGAATTAAGGATTCTTGTTTTATAGCATTGTGTAAAATGTCTTTAGCAGAAATGGGGTTTGTAAATGCTTTTTGAAGGGGTGGGTCTTCAGTCGGCGTTTGAAGAAAGTAAGAGAAAGTTCGTCCTACCACTTGAGCTTCAGGTGGACAAGAGTCTCAATGCTTCTCCCCTATGTGTCTTGAAGCTGTACTTAAAGCTTAAGGGATCAGGTTTTGACCATTTGCCTCAGGTAGGGAGGGCTGGTGCATTTTTGGCTTCGTAGGTGAGGCTCAGGGTTTAAAATCTGATGTGACAGGTACTCACTAAGAGAGAGACCTGAGTAAAATTAGGGAGAGTGAAGAAATTTTTTGCCGCTGCATTCTGGGTCAGGTAAAGGACCTGATGGCCCACAGAGGAAGACCAGGCAGGAGGGAGCTGCAGTGCTTGAGTCTCAAGCTGACAAACCTGAACAAGCACTTGGGTGGCCTCACTAGAGTTACTGGGTTCAATTCCATGGATGTTGTGGAGGAGAGACCTAGGTCAGGGTCAGGATTGCAGCATGCTGAGAATGATACCCTGTCGTCCACAACAACACACAGGCTTTGTACTTCTGCATACAGAATAACCAGGAAGTTCTCAAAGTAGCTGACAAGATTGTGGTTAGGATCTGTATTTCCATTGACAATTGGACAGACAATTTTTGTAAGTGTGCCTCTGTACACCACCACAGTGGATTTGAAATCAAGCAATCAAGATGGAATTGAAGTGCAGACTTTAAGCTTTAATTCAAGGGGGTTAACAAAAATATTGCATTAAATATTTAGGAATTACAGCCATTCTTACAGTCTCTCCACATGTCACAAGCTTAAAAGTAATTCAACAAACTCACGTAATTGTTAATACAAGAATTGTTTCTAATACTTGAATGCAAGTCCTCTGAAGTCTATGGACGCCTGAAGTCTGGAATCCATGGATGGCATTAAATGCTGAGATTCCTCCTTCAGATGCCTTGTCAGGCCTTTGCCAGTCGAGGCTTGTTTGTGGATCTTTCTGCTTTCAGTTTTGTCGTTACTAAGTAAAAATCTTGCTCAGTTGGGTGGAGGTCAGGTGACTGACTTGGCCACTTAAGAACATCACATTTCTTTGCGTTAAGAAGCTTTTGGATTGCTTCCACTGCATGTTTTGGGTCATTATCCATCTGTACTGTGAAACGCAGTCCTATCATTTTTGCAGCATTTGACTGAACAGTCTGAACAGAAAGTATAGCTCTGTACACTTCGGTATTCAGTCTGCTGCTTCTGTCAGCAGTCATATCATCAATAAACACCAGTGACCCAGTTTCATAGGCAGCCATATAGCCCATGCCATAACACTACCTCCACCATGTTTGACAGATGATGGAGTATGATTCGGATCGTGAGCCCTTAATTTCCTTCTCTGTATTCTTTTTCTTCCCATCATTCTGGTACAAGTTAATCTTGGCTTCTTCTGTCCAAAGAACCCTGTTCCAGAACTGGTAGGCTTTTTAAGGTGTTTTCTAGCAAAGTCTAATCTGGCCTTTCTGTTCTTGGGTGTTACCAGTGGTTCACATCTTGAAGTAAATCCTCTGTCTAACATTCATCTGTCTCTTGATTGACTTGACGGTGAAGAGGTTTTACTTTACCACTGAAAGAATCATGTGATCATCACGTAGTTGTCTTCTGTTGTTATCCAGGCATTTTGGTGTTACTGAGGTCACCAGTACATTTCTTTTTTTAGAATGTAACAAATTGGTGATTTGGCCATTTTCAAAGTTTATGCGATTTTCTCTCATAGGATTGTTTTGTTTTTTAGCCTATTGATGGCTCTGTTCACTTGCATTGACACCTCTTTGGATCGCATGTTGAGAGTTCCTATGAACAGCTACAAATGCACATTAAGCACTGGGAATCAACTCCAGACCATGTATCTCCTTGATTTGTCATGAAATAAGGGATCAGGCCACACCTGATCCCTTATTTCTTTTGAGCCTGTGAAAATGGAGGAACTGGGTAAAAAATGTAATTGCTTCATTTCAAATCCATTGTTGTGGTGTATAGACGCAATTACAAAAAATATGTCACTGTCAAAATACTCATGGATTTGACTGTATCTCAGCTCAGTCTTGCTGAGATTTTGTTTCAGATGTTGGGCTGCCATCCACAATGTGATGTAAGCCAGAGATGATGAAGTGCAGTAATTTTAACTAAAATGTGGATTTGTAAATTAAACATCTGTACAGGTCCTTGGGAGTGATGCAGTTTTGCTCTGCACACTTGACTGATCTATAAGCAGCTCCAACAGATTTTTCTTGGTCCTCCAGGTCTTCAGTCAACTTCCAATAGTTTCCCTTTGCATCTGTTTCTGAAAGCTAAAAAATGCATATTTTTTATTTGCTTTTTAACAACTCAATGTTGTTGATGTTGGGGAGTAATTCTAACCATTTTGTCACTTTTTTTATTTCTCTCTTATATAGAAAAACAGTCAATTCCTGCTGCAAGTCATCTACTGCTCCTAGTGTTTATTTTGCTACAAAAGTAGTTTCCACCAAGTCGAATGAATTGGACTTCTGAAATCAAGACAGATTAAATGGGAGAATAAGGTTTGCAAAAGAAGCTCCAGTTCTCCGCAAACAGCCTCTGGTCCTCTACAACATAACACATCTTGCAGAATAATGGAGAAAAATACAGACAAAAAGAGAACTCACTATTGCCTGGACTGTGGGAAGAGTTTTCCTCAACAGAGTAATCTTCAGCGACATAAATTCACTCACACAGGAGAGAAACCGTATCGCTGCACAGAGTGTGGGATAGGATTTACTCAACAGACTCATCTCCAGAGACACCAACTGATCCACACAGGAGAGAAGCCGTATGCCTGCTCAGAATGTGGGAAGAGTTTTACTCAAAAAAATAGTCTCCAAGTCCACCAGCGCATCCACACAGGAGAGAAGCCGTATCGCTGCACAGAGTGTGGGAAGAGTTTTAATCGACAGAGTCATCTCCAAGCACACCAGCACGTTCACACAGGAGAGAAACTGTATCACTGCTCCGAGTGTGAGAAGAGTTTTGGAGATGTTCGTACTCTAAAAAATCACCAGCGCATTCACACAGCAGAAAAACTGTATCACTGCTCAGAGTGTGGAACAAATTTTAAGAGACAGAGTCATTTCCGACTACACCAGTGCGTTCACACAGGGGAGAAATCATATCACTGTTCAGAGTGTGGAAAGACATTTCTTCGTCCAAGGAGTCTCCAAATACATCAGCGCATTCATACTGGAGAGAAACCATATCACTGTCCAGAGTGTGACAAGACATTTCATCATCCGAGTATCCTCCAATCACACCGGCGCATTCACAGCGGAGAGAAGCCGTATCAGTGTTCAGAGTGCGGGAGGAACTTTAATCAGCAGAGTAATCTCCAAAGACACAAACTCATTCACAGAGGACAGAAACCATATCACTGCTCAGAGTGTGGGAAGAGTTTTACTCAAAAAAACAATCTCCAAGTCCACCAGCACGTCCACACAAAGGTTAAACTGTATCACTGCTCAGAGTGTGGGAAGAGTTTTAAACGACAGTATACTCTCCAACTACACCAGCGCATGCACACAGGGGAGAAACCATATCACTGCCCAGAGTGTGGGAAGAGTTTCGGAGATACAGGCACTCTAAAAAAGCACAAGCGCATTCACACAGGAGAGAAACCGTATCAGTGTTCAGAGTGTGGGAAGACCTTTAGTGATCCGAGCAGTGCCAAATCACACCAGCGCATCCACACTGGAGAGAAACCATATTCCTGCTCACAGTGCGGGAAGACATTTAGTCATCCGAGTACTCTCAAAGCACACCAACGCATCCACACCGGAGAGAAGCCGTACCACTGCTCAGAGTGTGAGCGGAGCTTTACGCATTTGAAGTCTATGAAGATACACAAGTGCACTAAGAAGAAAACCAAAGCGATTGATGCATGAGTGTCAAATTAGAAAACATTAATTATATAATAGGGCTGGCGCAAACTAGTAAGTTGAAGCAGGGCCATGATACGGCAGTGGTAAAACTGCAGTGAAGAGGCAGAAGGAGAGAACAGAAATCAGTTTTCCTGCTAATCACAAAGCCTAAAGTACTGAGTGTGGATGTACTACATGAAATTCCACTGCAGTCTGTGTAGGACTTTACAGGAATACAGTCTCGTGAAGGCAGATGGGACCACAAACAGCAGTTTCTCCATTAGCAAGAATGTTTCTGAGTCTATTCTCTCTAAAGAGATTATCACTCACAGTTACAGAGTTACCTCGTTCTCTCAGCTGTAAGAGAGTTCTTCAGTCTGAAGGATGTTTTCATTTGCCGATACAGAGGTTAGCCTGTTCCCAGCTGAGAGAAAGTTCATCACAAAGGGCGTTTTAACTCTCAGCTCCAGAGGTTAGTTTGTCACCAGCTGAAACAGTTTGAGTTTAAAGGACATTCTCACCACCGCAGAGGTTCGCTTGTTGCTGGTTGAGAGAAAACCTCTGAGTGTGAAGCACGTTTTCACTCACTGCTATGGAGATCAGGCTGTTGCTGGCAGAGAGGAAGTTTCTCAGTCCCAAAGAGTTAATTTTACAGAGACGTCTAACCTTTATTTCTGTAGGGTCACAAATGCAGGAGCATTATATGGTTGCTGATCCTGTCTCTTCTTTGGTGATATTTCCCACCTCACTGTTAGTTGAATAAACATACTGACTTGGGTTTAATTTGTTTTTTGAGTTTAGAGGGCATCATTTCTACGACACCTTGTATTTAAATTAGATAATAATCTTTTTGTGATTATCATTGTTGGAGGACTTTTGTGATCATGCATCCTGTATGCTGTGCTGAATGCTTTATTCCATATAAACATGTTGGATGTTACATTAATTAAGATTGATCTCTGCCTTATTTAGAAATTTTAGAGAGTACTTTTGGATCTGTGTGTGTTTCTCTTGGTTTCTGAACATCACAGTGCATAGAGGGTGATGGTTCTTGAGAACATTGCTGTGATTGAGATAAGGACTTGTTTATGTCCATCTCTAGTGACTGCTGAGCACAGAGGTGGATTACTAACCAGGCCAGTGTCCATGGGCCTCTAACAACTCGAGGGGGCTCAAATATTTGGGACAGTAGAGAAGTGAATAGACAGTGAACGTCCAAATTACTGAATAAGTGAAACACATAGTAAGTCGATTTAGTGATTTTGGTCTGTCCAGAATCACTAAAACCACTGTAAAACCACTGTAAGTCGCTCTGGATAAGAGATTCTGATAAATGCTGTAAATGTAACTGTACATTAAAAAATGTCCTTAAAGTTTTATATTATTGTGAACTTGATAAAGACTATCTTATTGATTATTTCAGCATTATTTTATTTTAGGTGATCTGTTGTGATCAGCAAAACATTCAGTACTGTATAATTTCATTTAATCTTGTGTGAATCTCTGAGTTATGTATGTGTGTAACTACTGTACCTATGGAGTTTTGAGCTAAATCAAGAACTGCTCAGCATGTTTGTTCAGCCATGACAACATGTCATGTCTCTTTCTGTGAAATACTCTGAGCTCCTAAACCCAGAGTTCTCACCTCTAGGTGAGAGTAAAGTACCGCCCACGCTGTCCCTAATAAAGTTATCAACTTATTTACACTTACAAAATCAACAGAACATGTAATTTAACTAGGCCGTTCAGACTTCTGCATAGAACTCTTATCTGCTGTTTCTCATTTTGAGATTGTTATAAGAATATTATAAGGGCCTGTGTTGTACAGTTTTCTTATCTACTTATACATTTGTTTGGTTTTATCAACCTAAAGCAGTAATAATTAATTTCTACATGATTGTTTTCTGATCCCTCATCTCTTGAAATCAAACAGGCTGTTTTTGTTGTTGTGTATTTAAGACTGATTTACGGAAATGATCTCTGTTCTGAATGGCTGCCTTGTTGAAATAGTGATTCTGTCTGCAACATTACTTAGCGTAAATGGGCGGGGCTAAACTACAGTAGACTGAATGGACTATACTGAACTATATGTGGATGTAAATTTTAGTGTTTTTCATGACATCACCAAAACACTAAATTCACAACAGGCTGTTGTTGCATTTCATTTCCAGACAGACAGACAAAATTTTACTGATCCCGCGGGGAAATTGCATGTATAGACTGGGGTCTGAACAGTTCTTTGAAACTCTTTGAAAAATATTTACATACTACATTAATGTCTGTTTAAAAAATAGCTACTATATTTTTGTTTGATAATTTGGTTTTCCATGATTATTTGAACTACAACCCATTTCTAGTATTTTTACTTGTTCTAAAGAATTTTATTGAAGAAATGGGCTTGAAAAGGGAAAAATTTGCTGCCAATAGGGTGAGGTTATAACCTAATAACTAAATAAATAAATATTAGATTATATAATAAACAAAATGGGACACTGACTTCATTATGATTATGATATCATAAGCATTTAATAAACATTTCATTGATAATCTCGAAGTCTGAACGTCAGGTCTTGGCAAAGTTTAGGCTCCAGCTGCATGCAGTGGCATTCTGTTCTTCTAATTATCAGTATTAGTAATAATAATATTAAGCTGGTGGCAGAAAGTGCACATAATATACCTGTTAACTGCTGGTAAATTCTGGGCATCTGGGCAGATTAACATGTTCACCACCCTGCAAATAATGCAAAACTGAACTGATGGCTTTCCTGATTCTCCAGTTTGTAGCTGTTCTTCTATTTCATTTAGACTCAGATACTGTTCAACTTCCACAAACCCTTTATGATGACGATCTCTTCTAGTAAATGGATATTAAATATTGAAAGAAGACGAAGTTTCAAATAAGTCATTTAAAATCATGTTTAATGATGTCTTTCATTATGTATCATATAATTATATTTTATGATCATTTAGTGAACATGAAGTTAGAAAGTAGTGGAAAAGACTAGATTAATTTTCCAACTCTTCACAAAGTGAAACTAACTCATTAAGGTTTTAAACAATGTTTACCATTCAAATATATTTTTAAAAAGTAGCTTTGATGTTAACAGCTGTATGTTTTGTGAAAAATGACACATCTGATCATCTGTTCTATTTTTGTGCTTAGTTTTGTGATGAAATAATTCAACAGTAATCATGTTGTATTTGGAATATTAATAAAGGATGAAAAGTTAAGAATGTGTTGTCAGTATTTTGTATCTTTGCCTCTGGTAAAGTCCAAAAGTCCAAATGTACGAAATCCCGGACTGAAAAAACAAATATTCAACTTCCGCTGCGTTCTGTGGTTGCTATGGTGATGTGAAGCGCTTCTCAACTGGCCAATCAGCGGACTGCTCCTGTGAATTACTACCCAGTCGTGGCGCAGGAGGCGGGGTTTGCCGGAATACAGGTGGGATATAAATAATCTACCAGTCTGAGTCCCCCTGCAGCCCAAATGGGGGCGCTAGTTCTACAGCTGTGGTTTTTCAAAGGCAATAAAGCGGAGAAAAAGAAGAAGATCTCGTTGTGATCAGCAGTCCACGCCTCCGCGCGCACACAGTATTAGAGGAGAGGAACAGGAGCTGCTCTATTGTGAGTAGGGGCTCTAACACTTTCTCACACTCCTTTCTGTGTTTTAACTGATCTTTAATGATCTTTAACTTTGACAACATTGACAAAAATGCAAAGAATTCCCACCAGTTTATATTACAGGCTGTCTCTGCATTTCAGTACTGTTTGGCTTGATTTACACAAAGATTTACACAAGTAACCCTAGTAATGTAGACCGAGTCTGAGGAGTCTGAGCATAGCAGAGATAAACCTGGTGAACAGTTTCTTTCTTGCTTAAGCTTCAGGTTTAGTACGAAGACTGTGGTGTAGTGTTCTTCAGTGCCTTAACCCCACTCATCTGACTTTTACCCCACTGATGCCTTTCTTTGCCACTATACACCCTTTAACTGCTGCTGCACTCAGCACTTTAACTTAAGACTCATACTTTGCACAATGTAAGGTTACAGTCATGACTGTGTGTGTGTGTGTGTGTGTGTGTGTGTGTGTGTGTGTGAGAGAGAGAGAGAGAGAGAGAGAGAGAGAGAGAGAGTGAGTGAGTGAGTGAGTGAGTGATGGTAGAAATGCATGTTTTATTTTGTTATTTTATTTTATTTACTACTGTAAATTTGTTTACTGTGCACTGTGAGCTCCTGTAACCAAAACCAAATTCCTTGTATGTGTAAGCAAGCCTGGCCAATAAAGCTTGATTCTTATTCTCTGTAGCTTAAAACATTTTAACTAGGGATACACAATGATATTGGAATCAATGATATCGGCAGATTTTTGCTTTAGATAACATCAGCACTGGATAGGTATTTAGATTTGACTCATTATTCAGACGGATATAATGAAAATGCATTTATTGTGCTCCGAAATTGCAGATTTATTAGGTTGACATTGCACTAACTTTGGTAACCCTATTCATATTTTTCATGTGGCCTCTGTATTTCAAGATATGCCCAGAACCTCTGGTTGTGAACAGAAGAGTCATTAAACATGGTTTTGGCAAAGCCGGTGAAGCAATGTTAGCTTGATATGTGGTGGTTTTATTTTAGGCTAAATGTCTTTAGAGCATTCTGGACTACATGCTCGGTTCATGGCTGTCACCCCAGCTGGACAAAAGCTAATCAGTGGCTGCAGAACGTTTCGACAACAAACCACTCTAGAAAGCGCAGGGCTCACCGGTGGTTCTCCTTCCATTGATTGCCAAATGCAAAAACGTGGTAAAGCAATCAATTTCTCAGATCATAAGACAAGTCTATTGCCTCTCAAAAGCCCACTAAGAGTATTCGTTTATTCATTCATGTATTTGTTTGAAATGCAAATTACATAACTTAGGCACATTAACTATTATGCCTAATGCATACGTCCAGTAATGTCACAAATCCGACGGCTCTGCCAATAAACACGATGCGTAATTGTTCCGTCTCAACAACCTGAAGCGATTTAATCTTACTTAATGAACAAGCTACTCTGTCAGCCACTTCCATAAAACAGCATCGGCATGACTGCATAACCTCCCATGTCCTGTAAGGCATAAGCAACTTGCTGTGTGAAGCTCTCCTGTCTCTGCAGGAGCTCATGATAGTACGGTCTCTTCAGGCTCTGCCCAGGCTCAATAGGTGCATGCCAATCGCCCTCATAGTTTCCTTTAAACTGTACTGGACAGGGTATTCAGATATTTTAAGGGTGATTCCAAATCACAGGGAGTGAAAAAGTTCCATTGGAAGGGAGCTTCAGACTGCACATGAAGTACGCTTTATCACTTCACAGGAGGATGCAGGAAAGTTTACCCATCACTTATTGCATGTGTTTTGCAAATTAGTGTTTGATTATGACACTGTAGGATGTTCCGAATGAATTTATCAACCAAAGTTCTCTTAACCGACACCCCATGCTCAAATGTGTAGGGAACATAGTACTGCTTAGGGACCCTGGGCAATGGGATGCAGCTAATGATGATTTTAAGCACACCGATTTGTCTATGATCCCTCTTAGAGCCTGCCCCATCTTACTGCTGTGAAGATACTGGCATTCTTTTGAGCTTTTTGGAACATTCACAGGCTCTCTGTTGCTTCAGAATCAAAATCTTTATTCACCAAATACCAGGTGTGCCAGACATTTCTCTTGGTGCAACATAAAATTAAATACAATAAAGTAAATCTAGAAAAAATTACCTAACATAAGAAATTGTACACAAACAAACTGCATGTAAAAAGATGTGCAATAGGAAATAATCATAACAGCTACAACCATGTACTGGAGGGCTGAGATTAGGGCTGGGGGATAAAACGATAACGATAATTATCGCGATATAACTTTTCCTCGATAGAGCGATACGACATGTTCGATAAATGTTCGATATAATACACCATTCTCACACTCCCACGTTCAGCGAAAGCCTTGGTGGTGTTTTCTACTGCAAGGAAAGCAACACTACTGTGCTGTCGCCAGGAGAGGACGCACTTACGAGTTTTTCTACATGATTAGAGAGGGAGGGGGCCACGAGTAAGATGAGTCTTTAGCAACGGCTGAAACGCGGAATTGCACATTCCCTGTTTGAGTGGAGCGACCGGCGATCTGTTCTCCTGTGACCACGTGTGAGTGACGAGGTCAGTGGTGTAACTGTACTGTCCTACAGCGAACTCACCTCTTTCTGTACATCCTAACCAGCTTTAGCAGCGTTAAATCACGTCTGATACTCACAACTACAGCACTGTTACAGCGCTCGGACAGTCATATTTAAGTATTAGTGCATTCCCAAGCAACGAAAGTGAAAGAAAGAAGTGGGTTCATGTAAATTACAGCCCTGATTTAAAGGAAAGTAAACTGAGGAAGCTGTGAGGCATTGGAGAGCAGGAGAGCGCTATCTTTCCAGGCTAGCTGTTTTTAGCAGCTGGCTAACTTGAAGCAGCGCTCTGTCACTCGCACAACACGGAGAACTGATGATACTGTAGATCAAACAAGACACAAAAGCACCGCTTTCAGTTTAAACGTACCTAAAGGAGGACTCTGTTTGTCTGGTGTTGATATTTTGCGGTTCACCACTTAAACTACTACGATAGTATAGAGAAATCCAGTCGTCTAGCTGGTGTCTGAATACTGTGATGTCATGTGTAGCGGGGTAGCCGAGCGCTCGGCACCAGCTAAAATAATCTGTTTTCTTTCTTAAATTATGACTATTACAAAATAGCCACGCTTTTCCAGCTGGTAAAAACAGCTCACCAGACACTCTCTCCCACTGTCCCACGACAGATCTGTGAAATGTTCTACTGTTTGGTGAGTGTTTGTCGTGTTCTGACCATAAAGGATAGTTTAAAACAGCAATTAACCACCCAGGAGCAAAAATCAGCCTTCAAACTTGGAAGAAATAATGATTTGACATTTGTATCGATATCGAACGATATGAATTTTGTTTATCGTGATAATATTTTTGGCCATATCGCCCAGCTCTAGCTGAGGTACATACACTATATTGCCAAAAGTATTTGCTCGTCTGCCTTCACACGCATATGAACTTGAGTGATATCCCATTCTTAATCCATAGGGTTTAATATGATGTTGGCCCACCCTTTGCAGCTATAACAGCTTCATCTCTCCTGGGAAGGCTTTCCACAAGGTTTAGGAGTGTTTATGGGAATTTTTGACCATTCTTCCAGAAGCGCATTTGTGAGGTCAGACACTGATGTTGGATGAGAAGGCCTGGCTCGCAGTCTCCGCTCTAATTCATCCCAAAGGTGTTCTGTCGGGTTGAGGTCAGGACTCTGTGCAGGCCAGTCAAGTTCTTCCACACCAAACTCGCTCTTCCATGTCTTTATGGAGCTGCTTTGTGCTTTGGGTTGGAGATGGTACTGGAAGGGGCCATCGCCAAACTGTTCTCACAAAGTTGGGAGCATGAAATTGTCCAAAATCTCTTGGTGCTGAAGCATTAAGAGTTCCTTTCACTGGAACTAAGGGGCCGAGCCCAACTCCTGAAAAACAACCCCACACCATAATCCCTCCTCCACCAAACTTTACACTCGGCACAATGCAGTCAGACAAGAACCGTTCTCCTGGCAACTGCCAAACCCAAACTCGTCCATCAGACTGACAGACGGAGAAGCGTGATCGGTCACACCAGATCACCAGAGAACACGTCTCCACTGCTCCAGAGTCCAGTGATGGAGCTTTACACCACTGCATTCGACGCTTTGCATTGCGCTGGATGATGTAAGGCTTGGATGCAGCTGCTCGGCCATGGAAACCCATTTCATGAAGTTCTCTACGCTGTTCTTGAGCTATTCTGAAGGCCAAATGAAGATTGGAGGTCTGTAGTGATTGACTCTACAGAAAGTTGGCGACCTCTGCGCACTATGTGCTTCAGCATCAGCTGACCCTGCTCATTCATTTTACGTGGCCTCGCTGGAATTCACTGAGCTCCTGAGAGCGACCCACTCTTTCACAAATGTCTGTAGAAGCAGTCTGCATGCCTAGGTGCTTGGTTTTATACACCTTTGACCATGGAAGTGATTGGAACACCTGAATTCAATGATTTGGATGGGTGAGTGAATACTTTTGGCAATACAGTGTATATAGAGTATGTACAGCTGAGAGAATAGAGCAGCAAAGAAAAATATAAAATACTGTATGTATATCACGACAAGTTAAAATGTGTATTTGCAGCAGTGTAAAGCAGAGGGATGAGAGAGGGGTCCTGGTTAAAGAGGATAGCAGCTGTGAAGGTGGGGGTTGGTCTGAGTCTTAAGGGCTCTCACTCTTAGTCTCCACTTAGATGGAAACCGCTGGAAGAGCGAGTGCCCGGGGTGTGAGGGGTCAGCCAGGATCTTTTCTGCCATCTTTCTCATTCTAGATGAGTAAAGATCTTTGAGGACAGAGAGCTGACAGCCAATGATTTTCTCTGCACATCGTGCCATTTGCTGTAGCTTACGCTTGGTGTTCAAAGATGCCGAACGAGGTGCTGTGTTTGTCCCATTTGAGATCCTGTTGAATGATGGTGCCCAAGAATTTGTGAGCCTCTGCTCTGCTGACTGTGGAGCTGTGTATATCCAGTGGATGCAGTGGGGTGAGTTTCTTACTGAAGTTTTTTTGTATGTTTAGCTCCAGGTTGTTAAGTCTACACCAAGACACCAGCTGTGTTACTTCCTCCTGGTACATGGAGTCATCATTGTTTGTGATAAGACCAACCAGGAAAGTGTCATCTGCAAACTTAAGTTTAAGACAGTCACTGTCACATGTGCAGTCATTGGTGTAGAGAGTAGAGCAGGAGAGAGAACATCAGTGCTGAGGCTGAAAGGGTCCGAAATGTGATCACCCACCCAGACATACTGTTTCTTGTTGTTGATCCAGTAGCAGATAGATGAGGGGGCATTGAGCTGCCACAGTTTATACAGAAGAAGGTCAGGAATGATGGTGTTGAAAGCAGAGCTAAAGTCTACAAACAGCACACAGCCATACACGTTAGAGCTGCCAAGGGGTTGCAGGACGTTGAAATGAGCCAAATTAAATGGCATTATCTACAGACCTGTTAGCTCTTAATGCGAACTGCAGAGGGTCCTGGAAGAGCATCAGTCATGACTTTGAGGTGCTGAAGTATAAGACTCTCGCCATACTTTATGACCACAGGTATTAGGGCAACTGATCTGTAGTCATTCAGGAAGGAGATTGCTTTTTTGGAATTGGTATGATGACAGAAGCCTTGAAGCACACAGGCACAACAGACTGGGTCACTGGTGGCTGCTCTTTTGAAATACAATAAATACACAATCATTACATTCTGTGTAAAACTGCCTTATAAACCCCACAGCCAACAAAGCCTGTCCGACTTGACCGTTTTAATCCCTGACCAAACTTTGACGCTGATTATTTTTCTTTTCCTTTCTTTTTCTCTTCCAGAAAGAGATGACTTCTTGTTCCTAAGTCTTCGCCTGCTTCTAGTGTCCAATTTCCCGCACACTTCAAATTTACTTCCACAAACACATCAGGAGTTGCTACGAAGTACAAAATATTACACTGCTGACATCAGCAGAGATTAATGTAAGAATGTCATCTGCAGGAAGCTCGAGTACTCAAACAACATCATCCAGTACACTTTACACCAACAGATCAGGCAGACAAATACAGAAAAGCACAGGCAAGAAGAGACCGTATCACTGTTCAGAATGTGGGAAAAGTTTTACTATCCCAAGTCATCTACAAATACACCAGCGCATTCACACTGGAGAGAAACCACATCAGTGCTCGGAGTGTGGGAAGAGTTTTAATCAACAGAGTGGCCTCCGACTACACCAGCGTATTCACACAGGAGAGAAACCGTATGACTGCTCGGAGTGTGGGAAGAGTTTTAATCAACAGAGTAGCCTCCGACTACACCAGCGTATCCACACAGGAGAGAAACCGTATCCTTGCTCCGAGTGTGAGAAGAGTTTTGTTCAAAAGATTCATCTCCAAAGACACCAGCGCATTCACACAGGAGAGAAACCGTATCACTGTTCAGAGTGTGGGAATAGTTTTACAGCTCAAAATAGTCTAAAAGTACACCAGCGCATTCATACAGGAGAGAAACCGTATCACTGCTCAGAGTGTGGGAAGAGTTTTACTGCTCAAAATAGTCTAAAAGTACACCAGCGCATTCATACAGGAGAGAAACCGTATCGGTGCTCAGAATGTGGGAAGAGTTTTAGAGAGAATGGTACCCTCAAACTACACCAGCGCATTCACACTGGACTGAAACCGTATTCCTGCTCACAGTGTGGGAAGAGTTTTACTCGACTAGGACCTCTCCAAGTACACCAGCGTGTTCACACAGGACTGAAACCATATTCTTGCTCACAGTGTGGCAAGAGTTTTACTCGACTAGGTCCTCTCAAAGTACACCAGTGTGTTCGCACAGGATTAAAACCGTATTATTGTTCAGAGTGTGGAAGGAGTTTCAGTGGGGAAGGTAAATTTAGAAGACACCGGTGCATTCACACAGGAGAGAAACCTCATCACTGCTCAGAGTGTGAGCAGACCTTTAAGCATTCAAAATCTTTAAAGACACACAAGTGCACAAAGAGAAAGGGAACACAAAGAACACATTCTAAGGAAATAAGTACATTCTAAAGAACCGAAGGGGTTGTTTTCATCAGGTTGCACTGATATAAATTGCATGCGGATACCAATGACCAATATTATTCATGTACATTAATATCAACCAGTGCTGATATGTGGTCGTGGAGATCTGTCGTCCTGTGGTGACTAGTTTGAACCACAATCTGCCAAACCTGTTCCAGATAGTTACTAGGGGTGGGGGGAAAAATCGATTCTTAGATGCATCGCAATGCAGATGTGAACAATCTGAAATGTCAAAAATCTATTTTCTAAATATTTAATTTATAAGGTAATGTTAACGGAACGTAAAAGGCGGAACTTGTACGTGTGGAAGTGCAGCACCCGGACAGTCTGTGGCGGCACATGACAAAGACACTACTGGATGAGCGAGAAATCCGACAACAAAAATCAGACCACCTTGGGAGCCACAACATTTAATGTCCAGTATGTCTCAGTGTGTGACAATGTTCTAGTTTAGGCTAAACAATATAAACGAATACACAGACTGACTTTGCTCTGCTTTAAGCTTTAGCTTTAGCCGACTTTTCCTCAAAAGTTGAACAGTTTCTTGTAAAATGTATCTCAATGTTTGACTGTTTTATGAGGCTGAAGTCGCTTCTCATTCTCCAGCTTCTTGTTCGGATTTTCCCATTCCACCTTAAATTCTGACTGAGGCACCATTTAAGGTGGAACGGAAAAATTCGAAAGAGAAGTGACTTCATCTTCGCAAATTTTTAGTGTTTGACAGCCTCTCGTTGCAGATTTAACGTACCCGGAAAACAACTGCAGTGCTTATAAATGCGAGTAAGTCTATTTGTCTCCAAATGTTCATCTTAAATCTCTCTCTTTGCCTTTTCATTAGCTACTAGCCAGGGAAGACTATGTTGCTATGTGACCTGCAGTCTGCACGCCAGTTCTCAGTCGTTGAGAACCAGGGCTTTCGCTGTTATGCTGTTGCACACGTCACATCTCGAAGATATTTTACTGACACAGCGATACATCGAGACCAAAACCGAAGTTATAAAATCACTAAAGAAAATGGGTAGGACAGCTGTAACGTGCTGCGTGGACATCCACTGCCACAGGATCTTATGACACCGTAACAACTCATTTTATGACAGATGAGTGGCAGCCATTGTCTCGTGCTCCAAACAAGAGCAGTGAATGAGAGCCTTTCAGTTCACATCACTTTCTTTTTGGTTTATTAATAAAAGCTATTGGAAGTAAATTCATTATGGATCATTGCAAACACTTTGCTTTAAAAGTACCAAGTCCTCCTACAGTGAGGGAAAAAAAGAATTCCTGTATAGAACAAAAAAGGCACCAAGATGCATCGATAATCGTTTTATAATCACATTACAGCCTCTGAATCGTAATCGAATGGTGAGGTGCCTAGACATTCCCACCTTCTTTAGAACTCCTTGATTGGCTGGATCAAATGAATTAATGATAGATGCAGTTTGGAATTAAATTCTGCAGGAAGGTACATTTACAGGAGATGGTTTGGTGACGACTGTTCTATAGCAGTGTTTCCCAACCCAGTCCTCAGGGACCCTCTGACGGACCACATTTTTGCTCCAACCTCAAAACACAGGAATGAAGGAAAAATGTGGACCATCTGGTGGGCCCTGAGGACTGGCTTGAGAAGCACTGTTCTACAGGGTTACAGATGTATTGATTGAATCCAAACATCTGTCCAGTGATTGTACAGATATGATTTTGGATGTCATTGTGAATCCCTAGTTTGTGTATATTAAAAAAGATGTGTTTGGGATGAAATGAGATGATATAACTCAAAAAACAATTTTAAGGCTGTATAAATGGGCGTACATTTTTATTGAAATTGGGTGTATGTTTTTATTAAAATTGCCAAAGAGGCTGTTGATAATATTGTTAGAAAAAAGTCTGATTAATCTCTTATGTGATTTGTAGCTCAGTATGATGATGCTCTTGTGTCTTAATGGCTGTGAAATTTAGTTCAGCATATTTAAAGTGTCCTGTCTCCCTTTTTAACATTCATTACTATCTACTGTTTTCTTGGGGATGTGTATCTATTGTTTTGCTGTGATTTAGCTGTGCTGCTTAAGGTTTGATCATTTAAGTAATCTATTGTGACTAACAAACTTATCTGTACCATGTGTCTTGAGAAGTATGCAGTGTGTTTCAATCATGACCTAGTATTTGGCTTGTCCAAATTTCTTTTGACCTTTTTTAAGGATAGTCTGAGGGCTCATTGATCCAGAGTTGCTGTCTCTCTTTGTGACCAAATAGCATTAACAGTAATAATTTATGTCACGCTGTGCCACAGTAGGTAATCAGATGTGCCAAAGAACAGCTAATATTATCTTTGAAATATGTCCATATATGTCCAATTTATGCACTTGAAAGCCTTAAATAAACACTCCAAGGTAATTTATCAAAAGCTCTCGAACAACGTAAAGGAGAGAAGCTTATAAAGGGTTTACCAGAGCCATCAATAAGTCAAGCCAGCTGGCTAAGGTGAGAGAGGCTGGATTCCCTGCCAGGCCAATAATAGCAGGCAGTTGTTTTCAAGAACAGAGAGTGACAGCCAAATGCTGGAACCAGCCATGTTTCTTTATTTTGCATTCATTTATTCCGTTGTTTTTCATTTTAAGTTAAACATTTAATCGGTTACTTTTTGTATGATCATTATTTTTCTTCAGTGTCATAAAACTTGTTTTTGTTTGACAAATCATCCTAATAAATCTGGCAAAGACATTGCTGACTATGCTGCAACTTAATTTTTCTGAAATCAAAAACTTGCAATATTTTAAGTTAATTCTGATTTAAGCACGCAAAGGAATCTCCTTTTATGGTCCAAGTTTAAATGTGGAGCCTGCTGGCTGCTATAATGGTTCTTCAGCCACCGTAGGCTGTGAAGGTCTACTGGGGTTTATAGGAGGTCTGGCAGAATTTCTTCTAGGATACCTTCTGTCAGTAAAACCTCGTTATGACGTGTGAAAACCTACTGCAACATCGCTGGCTAAGCGATTCCCCTGGTTTGATTAATGCAAACATGGCTTCCAGAACCCTTGTGGAAAAAAACAGACCAGCCGGAATTCTAAGCTGGTTTATGCTGGTCTGGTGCAGGTTTAGCTGGTCACCCATCACAGTCATTCTGGTTGGTCAGCATCCAAAACAACATAACGCTGGTTTTGCTGGTGATCAGCATAATAGCGTCCATTTTTGTGCATCCAAAACACAAAATATACTGGCTGCCCTGTTTATGTTAGTTTTACTAGTTGTTATTCTTTTTAGTTCGCTTCTTTTTAAATTGGCAAATATTCATATTTTGTCGGTTCTCAAACATGCATGTCTGCACCGAACATCTTGTAAAGCCTGTTGACTGTTTTAATGAAAATATTTCAAATACCTCACTGTCTCTATCTATACTTTCTTTTATGCTATTGAGCTAAAAAGTCTGTTATTGCACTCAATCGTAGTGCAGGTGGAGTTTACTGGAAAATGGGTGAGATGTTAAAAAACACCCGGTTGGCCGTGATCGCAGAGTCCCAGCGTGAATCTCCATTCAGGTGGGGCGCTAGTTCTATACCAGGATAACAGGTTCCCCAAAGCAACTGAAATGGAGAAGCAGAGTGAGAGAAACAGAAGCTGTTCTGTTGTAAATAAGGGCTCTAACACTTTTTCATGCTCTTTACTCTGTGTTTTTAAGTCCTGCAGTCAGAGCTGTGGAGGAGTCATGTGTGTCACTGAAGCTGGCGTGGGCAGATAAGATGACAGAACGGATCCAAGGGCTGGTCATAACCGCAGACATACAGCCAGTGGCACAGGGCCACCACTGCTGGACATGCGGCTGGCCAGGACATTACTATGGCTTGTCCTTTGGAGGTAAGCAAGTGAAAAAGAATGCTGCCCTCGCCAAAAAGAACAGCGCAGGTAGTGAACAAACAGTGGCTGTACTGTGGCGTATGTCTATATTAGATTTCTGCCACATTTCCATCAACATCAAATGAGTTCCATGCACTGCTCTGGTGGACACCAGGTCGACAAGCACAATAGCCCAGCCAAAAGTGGTACCTGCTGGGTTTGAGATGAAAGGCATGGCAGGTTATCTCTGCACTCTGATCGCTGAGCTAGCACCAATCCGGGGAGGGAATGCTGTCAAAACAGTTAGGGGGCAAGAATATCTGTCACTTAGCCTGAATACCTGCAGTTCAAGATGTGCATTCTGGGCCTAGACTTTTTGAGAAGCATCAGGTGCCAGATGGACCTAAACAGTGCCATGCTGAGTTTCAAAGGTAAACTTCAACTAGTTCAAAAAGCTGCAGCCAGGGTTCTCACTAAAACTAGAACATTTGATCACATTTGACTCCTAACTACTACTACTATTACTACTATTAATATTAGTAGTATAATAATTTTGTAGGTAGTTTGACCAGAGGAGGACGGGTCCCCCCCATGTGAGCCTTGGTTCCTCCCAAGGTTTCTTCCTCAGCTCTGAGGGAGTTTTTCCTTGCCACTGTCGCCCCTGACTCGCTCACCTGGAGGATTTACATTTCATGTTTAAACTTTGTCTTTAATGGATTTCTGTGAAGCTGCTTTGTGACAACATCAGTTGTAAAAAGCGCTACACAAATAAATTTTGACTTGACAAACTCAGCTTGTTAGCCTAGAGTTAGCTAGCTGTGCTTCTTTGCATTTGAAGAAAAAATAAATTTGTTTATGTATAATAAAGTAAAATTATATATATATATATATATATATATATATATATATATATATATATATATATAAAATTCTATAATCCATCTCACTGAACTACATTCACACCATCAATGAAAATATATGTAAACATGCTAATTTAAGTATATTACTTACCTCATTAATGCTCTGTTCTATTTCTCTTCTGGCTGCTGGCTCTTCTGTTTAAATATAAGGTGAATTTAGAAAGTCCATTAAATTCATTTGCAGTAGAGACGGGGCGAGGAACCAGCAGACAAGCCCCAACCGCATAAATACAAATTCACATTTTTCCTCAAACAAAAAAGTGACACTATGTCTGACTACATAAACCAACCCATCAAATAAAGAGTGAAATATGGAGCATTACAGCTTCACAAGTCTGTCATAAGAAGCAGACTCTTCAGTTACTCTGTAGGCAATAAAATAATCTCAGTACTGAAAACTCATCATTATTATTTCTGTATGATTTTGTTTGTTTTGTGGTTTAACTTTGTCATAAAGCATCAGATATAGAATAAATCTGTCTCGTGCTGGTTTAGCTGGTCACCCTGCACGGCCACACTGGTTCATCAGCATACCAGCATCCAGAACACAGCATCACTGCTGTCGGTTTTTTTAGTTATTTTTTTTGGAGATAAGGGGGTTTGTTCTGTACGGAGCCCCGCTGGTGACATTCTGTATAAATAAAAATAATGCATGGCCATGCCTTATTAACACGTGGGAACAAGATCCTAAGGTGTGGCCACGACTTAGCAAGGTGTGGGAACGAGATCTTGCTTGCTAAGTCGTGGCCACGCATTAGGATCTCGTTCCCACGCCTTAATAAGTTGAGGCCACAACATAATTATCTCGTTCCCACAGTTGTGGCCATGCATTATTTTTTTTTTATACAGGAAGACACCAGCGGGGCTCCGTAGTTCCGACAGCAGTGATATACTGGTTTTGCTGGTGACCAGCATTCTAGTCTATGTTGGTTTTTCAAGCAGGTGGGGGCGCTATTTCTAAAACTGTGGTTCTACAAGAACAATGAAGCGGAGAAGAAGAAGAAGATCTTGTCGCGATAAGCGGTCCACATCTCCGCGCGCGCACAGTGTCGCTGGTCGGAGAGAATCAGGAGCTGCTGTGTTGTAAGTAGGGGCTCTAACACTTTTTCACACTCGGTAAAATCAGGTCGATGTTGGAAGTTTAGCGAATTCGTTTCGCTGCTCATAACAGCAAAAAAATCTCTGAAATTACATTTTCTAAATTTTGGTAAAACTGAAAATGAACTACAATTATTATATCAAAGTTCCAGATTTTTCCGTTTCGCTGAGTTTATTTGATCAAAATAGCCACATTTGCTGCAGCAGGCGCCAAAGACGGTAAGGGACCATCTGTAAAGTGTGGGTATAGTTTAAAAATGTGAAACATTCACAGAGACGAAGAGCCTGTTGGTGTTATTTATAAAGACCTGAAACCTACTGAAATACACTGATGATTCGAAAATCAATAACTAACATGAACAGGTTTCATGATGTTGCCACATCAAATGAGTGCTCTCTCCCTCTCTCTCTCTCTCTCTCTCTCTCTCTCTCTCTCTCTCTCTCTCTCTCTCTCCCCCCCCTCTCCCCCCCCCTCCCCTCCATTTTTTATAATAAAACATTCCCATTTTGACATGTACACTGTTTTACGGCAGACAGGTCTTAACAGTCAGGCTTCCCTTTGACAGTCAGTAAATGAAGATCAAAAAGGGGCTTAAAAACTTCAAAAAACTGCCATCAGGTAGGGAGGGGCTGGTGCATTTTTGGCTTTGTAGGTGAGCATCAGGGTTTAAAATCAGATGTGGCAGCTACTCACTAATGGACTGAGCTGAGTGAGCTTAAGAAGATTGAAGAAAAGTCGTGCTATTGCATTTTAGATCAGATGAAGGGCCTGATGGCCCTTAGAAGAAGACCAGCCAGGAGAGAGTTGTTGTACTCGAGTCTTGAGATGACAAGCCTGAACAAGCACTTGGGTGGCCTCCCTAGAGGAGGGCTCAATCCTGATATTGGAGATCTGCCGATCTGGAAAGTTCAGATCCAACACACTTGGCTTTCATGTTAAGATTTCCCTGAAGACCTGTATTGTTTAAATCAGGTGTGCTGGATTAGAGTTTCAGCTAAACACTGCAGGTTGGTGCATATCCAGGAGCAGGATTGAGCACCGCTGCCCCAGAGCCATTGGGTTCAATTCCTTGGGTGTTGTAGAGAAGAGACCTGCATGACTGAGTCAGGTTTGCAACTCATGCTGAGAACAATAGCTGGTCGTCCACAACTGCACCAAGGCTTTGTGCTTCTGCATGCAGAATAACCAGGAAGTGTTTAAAGGGGTCGACAAGATTGTGGTTAGGACCTTGTGGGCAGTTCGCTCTTGTGAAGGTTATGTTTTAGATGTTGGGCTGCCATCTATGAGGAGTTGTCAGCCAGAAACACTGAATTATAATCAGTGTAGCTAAAATGCAGATTTGTAAATTAAAGATTTACTGATTTGCCTCTGTGCAGGTCCTTGGGAGTGATGCAGTTGTTTTGCTCTGTATGCCTGACCATTCTGTGAGCAGCTCTAACAGATCTTTCTTGGTCCTACAGGTCTTGACTCAATGTCCAGTAGTTTCCCTTTGCTTCTGTTTCTAAAAGATTAAAAATGCTTGATTTTGTTTGCTTTAAACAACTAAATGCTGATGTTGGAGTAATCCCAACAATTTTGTCACACCTTTTTCTTTTTCTTTCTCTTTCAGGAAAAAGTTATCCACTGCTCCTAGTGTTTATTACCTACAAAAGTAGGTTCCACCAATAGGACTCCTGAAATCAAGGCTGATTACATGTGGAAATAAGGTTTCAAGAAGACTAATGGAGGAAAATACAGACAAAGAGAAAACTCACTATTGCCTGGACTGTGGGAAGAGTTTTACTCAACAGGGAGGTCTGCTAGACCACCGGCGCATTCACACAGGAGAGAGACCGTATGTCTGCTCAGAATGTGGGACAGGTTTTACTCGACAGAATCATCTCCGAAGACACCAACTCATTCACACAGGAGAGAAGCCGTATCCCTGCTCAGAGTGTGGGAAGAGTTTTTGCAGAAAATATAGCCTCAGAGTTCACCAGCGCATCCACACAGGAGAGAAACCGTATCACTGTTCGGACTGTGGGAGGGGTTTTACTCGACAGAGTTATCTCGAAGCACACCAGAGCATTCACACAGGAAAGAAACCGTATCACTGCGCAGAGTGTGGAAAGAGTTTTGGAGCTTTTGAAACTTTAAAAAATCACCAGCGCGTTCACACCGGAGAGAAGTTGTACTGCGCTGAGTGTGGCAAGAGTTTTAGTGAACGGAGTCACCTCCGACTACACCAGCGCATTCACACCGGAGAGAAGCCATTTCAGTGTTCAGACTGTGGGAAGAGTTTTAGTCGAAATACTCATCTCCGGTCACACCAGCGCGTTCACACTGGAGTGAAGCCGTATCCCTGTTCAGAATGTGGAAAGAGTTTTACTCATCCTAGTAGTCTCCAAGCACACGAACGCCGTCACACTGGAGAGAAACCGTATCACTGCTCAGAGTGTGGAAAGAGTTTTACTCAACAGAGTTCTCTCAAAGCACACCAGCGCGTTCACACTGGAGAGAACCCTATCACTGCTCAGAGTGTGAGCGGAGTTTTAGGTATTTGAAGACTATAAAGATACACAAGTGCACCAAGAGGAAGGCAAAAACCTGAGATGCAGGAGTATCAAATTAGAAAACATTCATTATATAATGGGGGTTACATAAACTAGTCAGCCAGTAAGTTGAGGACGGCGCCTAAAATACAGCGGTGATAAAAACTGCAGTGAAGAGGCAGCAGGAGAGAACAGACATCAATTTTCCTGCTGATCACAAAGCCCAGAGGACTTAGTGTGGACATACTACATGACTTGTGATTCATTCTGTTGTCAGGATTTCCTGACACGTAACCATGTAACATTTTCTTTTACCTCACAGTAAATAAGCAGTATTCGCTAAAACGAGCACTTTGTTTGCTCCAGTCTGTTGAGTGTCTTCTTCAATGTTTGACAGTAAACATACAAGTTTCTAAAAATTTAGTTTACGCCCATAAATAAAGTATCAAAGGTGACAAACTCAGCTTGTTAGCCTAGAGTTAGCTAGCTGGCTAAAGCTCACAAGCTGTGCTTCTTTGCATTTGAAGAAAAAATAAGTTTATGTATAATAAAGTAAAATAATGTATAATATTATAAATATATATAATTCTATAATCCATCTCACTGAACTACATTCACACCATGAATGAAAATATATGTAAACATGCTAAGTTAAGTATATTACCTCATTAATGCTCTGTTCTATTTCTCTTCTGGCTGCTGGCTCTTCTGTTTAAATATAAGGTGAACTTAGGCGGGAAAGTCCATTAAATTCATTTGCAGTAGAGACGGGGCGAGGAACCAGCAGACAAGCCCCAACCGCATAAATACAAATTCACATTTTTCCTCAAACAAAAAAGTGACACTATGTCTGACTACATAAACCAACCCATCAAATAAAGAGTGAAATATGGAGCATTACAGCTTCACAAGTCTGTCATAAGAAGCAGACTCTTCAGTTACTCTGTAGGCAATAAAATAATCTCAGTACTGAAAACTCATCATTATTATTTCTGTATGATTTTGTTTGTTTTGTGGTTTAACTTTGTCATAAAGCATCAGATATAGAATAAATCTGTCTCGTGCTGGTTTAGCTGGTCACCCTGCATGGCCACACTGGTTCATCAGCATACCAGCATCCAGAACACAGCATCACTGCTGTCGGAACAAAACCTCGTATCTCCGTTTGTGTCGTTTTTCGTTTTTTTTTTACATTATTTAAAAATGCCTGTTGCCCTTTACATGTATGTAAATTTCATGATGAATGTACTAAAAGAAACGACCCAAATTCGCTCAGTAAAAAGTCTGGAACACTGACTTACATTAAAAGTAAAGAAAGTGTTTTCCTTCTCCCTTACAGTTATTTTGGAGATAAGGGGGTTTGTTCCAACAGCCGTGATATTGATGGTGACCAACATTCTAGTCTATGCTGGTTTTTCTAGCAGGTGGGGGCGCTATTTCTATAACTGTGGTTCTCCAAGCACAATGAAGCGGAGAAGAAGAAGAAGATCAGCAGTCCACTCCTCCGCATGCTCAGTGTGGCTGGATGGAGAGAATCAGGAACTGCTCTGTTTTAATGATGTCTAAGACTCCCCTGGGTCTCCCCCCATACAATCATTCAGAAGGAGAAAACCCTGAGGAGGCTCGCGGGACCTCTTGCACTTCAAACATCAGGGCTTCAAAAGGCACTTTTGGGATGGCCGGAGGGTTTACAAGCTGGCCAGTAGAAGCGGACCATTAGATGATTAAGTGTCTTCTCTTGTCCCAGATGCCCTGCCATGGGATTATTATGAGCCTCATGGAATAACATTTCCCCACGGCTTTTCGGTACTAACAGCTGGGTGGAAACCTCCGTCTGAGCGTCCCGCGTCACTCTGTATAATCTATCTTTAATGAGTGAAAAAAATGGGGATATGACAGGGGCCATCCCGGCTCGAGTAACTGACCATCAATAACTTTCACTTGGTCAAAGATGTCCTTCAGCGAATCATCATGTGACTGCCCCATGGACACACTGCAATTTCACCCGATATGCCCTCTCCAATGCCATGTCTTGAATCAAGCATTGGTGAATCGTGGTTTGATTACAGCCAGAATCCACCAAGGCTTGATATGCACCCCCTTGAATACTCACTGGTATGCGGTATGCTCCAGCTCGATCAGGGGATGTGGGTGGTGACGTGGGAACGCGGACCAATGTTCCGACCTCCATGTGGTGGCATTGGTCCTGAAAATGTCCAGGCTCCCCACATCGCCAACACACCTGTCAAGGCTTCACCCCAGTTCTTGTGGGCTCAGCTGTTGCCCCCTGTGCAGAGAGAAAAGGTAGACCATGAGTAGCTGCAGGGGGGGTGCGGGAGGTAGAAAGGGGGGAGTTGCTGGGAGGGTGAGAGCGGGGAAAGGGTTTGGGGGCTAGAGCTCCCTTCTTTCTGGGAGCGGGAATAGGGAGAGAGAGAGAGCTACTTAAGAGCTACTTAGCCCGCTGGTTCAGCCCAACCAGCTTCTCCATCCTGCATTCGATTAGCATAATCCTGTAGATTAAACGTATCAGGAAACCAGCTGGAGTGATTATAAACTCAACTCCGTCCATTCATCTCCAAATTATCGATGTTCATCTTAAATCTCTCTCTGCCGTTTCGTTAGCTACTAGCTAGGCGAGACTGTTGTCTGTGTTGCTATGGTGACCAGCAGTCTGCGCTGATCTTCAGGGTTAAAGGGTGAATCAGCAGTTCTACATTAACTCCAAGACCATTTACTGTTAAACTGTGTTGAACGATCAGCAGAGCTTTATTTTACTGTAAAGGAGGATTATTTTATTTTTACCTACAAATCTGATTCAGCTGAGGAGCCACAACAGGGCAGTAAAAGAGTCGCATGTTGTCGACCCCTGACCTAGGCCATCAGGGCTCTGAACACCTCGCACTCAATGACCCTTCCTCCATCTACCATATCACCTCAAACTCCACTGACATGAGCATCTGACCAGTAATGTGGTCCAGAACCACTCCCAACACACACACACACACACACACACTCACACACTCACTACCTCTCTCCCACGAGACAGCTGCTAGAACATTACAGACAACTACACAGCTAGAACACTGCTCAATTGTACAGTTTGCACAATTGCACACCTCTGTACACTGGCGACTTCAACGTCTCACTTCAGTGTAATAGGACTTATATTGATATATATAGGTGACAAGATTTACACTGCGTTATGTACACTGTGTGTGATACATATACACATATACGTGCATATTTTAAGGACTTTTGAGTTTCTATGCAGCTGCTATTGCACGGAATTGCACCGAATTGTCATTTGCACTGTACTTAGGTTCTGTTCTTAAGTTTGACTGTGAGCGGACTGTCTAGCGCTCACTGCTTCACCACAGACGGGGCCGCCAGCTTTCCTCCTATCTGGGAGGAGGCGGGGTTTACCGGAATACGGGTGGGATATAAATAACCTCCCAGTGTGAACCCTACAGCCCTGCTGGGGGCGCTAGTTCTACAACTTGTGGTTTTCCAAAGACAATAAAGCGAAGAAGAACAACAACAACAAGATCAAGAAGATCTCGTTGTGATCTGCAGTCCACAGCTTTGCGCGCGCAGAGTGTTGTTGGAGGGAGACAAACAGGAGCTGCTGTAGTGTATGTAGGGGCTCTAACACTTTTTCACACTCTTTACTCTGTGGTTTAACTGATCTTTATAGAATCAGGAGCTACTGTAGTGTAAGTAGGGGCTCTAACACTTTTTCACACTAGGAGCTTGGAGAAATGTGAAGTTGCTCACAGAAGCAGTTCTTGTTCAGACTTTAGGTTTTCTGCTGTTTAATATACGTTCATATAATATACTGTTTCACCATTTAAGGTGGAGCAGAAAAATCCAACAGGAAGCCAAATTCACTCTGAGATTTCAGGTGATCATAGAGAGGCAGAGGCGTATCCTGTTATCCCGTTATCCTGTTATCCTGCTATACTGCACACTTTCTCTGTTCTTGTGTGTGCTAATGTTATCAGGCGTGTCACGTTATTGTTTATGAACCCCCCAAGGGGACATGGTGATTTTTTTAATTAGGCATGGCCACAAGTTACTATAATGAGGCCACAAGCTACTATATTACTATACTAAGACCATGAGTTCATAAATGTTCCCCTAAACAGAGAAATGATTTATTTCCATGTCTGAGTTTCTTCAGCTATCAATTTGTGCACACGTGAAACAGATCCTATAGATCCATATGAACATATTGGATGTGCTCTTATAAACAGGGTCAAAATAGGAAGAGAAAAGAAACACAGATCTGATTAAATGTGTATAAAGGTGCAGTTTGTTAGATTTGAATTAAAGATCTTATCAAAAACAATCCAGACATGTTTCAGAGCTTTGGTTGAGAAGTTGGGTTTACTGAAGCTGCTGCCATAGAGAGCAGAGCTGATCAGCGGAGCATTTTACAGGCTTCAAATACTCAGCGTTTCCCAATGAATACTCAAATAATCATTCTTTATATTACCCTTAAACACAATTATATTTATATTTCATAATGAACCATCACTTTAGGAAGGGGTGAGCAATATAATGATATTTATTCATTATTGTGATAAATTGTCACAATGCGCTTTTCTGAGCATATCATAGATACCAACAGTACTTTAAGAACACTGACTGCATGCTTCATTACAAAGTGAGCTTAAAGAAGCCTGTTTAACTGGATTTACTGCAGTGCAGTTGGTAAAATATTGAATAAAAATCATTTATTCAATTAAACTATGTGCCACTGAAGTTTCAGTCTGTTCCAAATTAAATCTCAGAAAAAAATATTGTGACACACATTGTGTATTGTGAAAATGTCTTGAAGTATTGTCATATAAAACTTTAAGGTTATTGTTCCTTTTATAATTAAAATGTTTCAGTTTTGTTTTTTTTAAACAAATTACACATTTTTATACCCCTTTCTGTGATGGACATCCCAAAAGTGCAGAGAGATGGATGTGTTGAAAAGCTGTCAGATAAGGAGATGAATGAATCTAGATAGCAATTAGCAGAGTTACAGAAGATAAATATGTAAATCTTTTAATATCTTTGTTTAGTGATGTGTTTTCAAGGTCAGTTGGTTGGCATGTTGAATTAGTGTAGAATGTGTTTTCAAAACAGAGAATCAGTGATCAGAAGTTTACGAGATCTGATGAACTAGTTTCTGAATGAATTACTGCTATATTCTCTAACTGGCACTTGGGCTGGGCTGTATGACTGTATTATCGTTATTGTGATAAATTGTGTCATCTCCTTTTCTGAGCATATCATGGATATTGTCAGTACAATCTTTATAAAAGATTTTATATTTAGAACCATGAGATCTATATACAACCATCTGCATGGATAAATGTTACTTAGAATGTCAGGCTTGTATACAATAGAAGAACTCTTCTTGGTGCTGTATAGAACCATTTTTAAAAAGAATATGTTTAGAGCTAAATTATGCTGTGGAATCAGCTCGTTTTCTAGCAAATCACAGCCACAAACAGAAACATGCAGCTACGTCCGGTTTATAAACTGCAGCTGTGAAACAGGGTCTGCTTTTTTGTGTTTTTCCTGCTCTGCACACCTGTCCCAGCCCATGAGGAGCCTGTTGAATTAGGTGTGCTCAATGAGACTTTAGGTACTAAACTGTGCATAGTGTGGGGTTTGGACTGGAATTGAGAACCCCTGATACAAGCAAAGATGTCGAGCCTCTATAACAGAGTCAAATTAATACCTCCAACAGGATAACTTCATCTTTGAGGGGTGAGACTTCCTCAAAATTTGTTTGGAAGTGATAGGAGCTTTGTCCCTCTTCTTCCCCTGATGTTAAATTTTCCTGTAACTAGCTGTTCTTAAAGAACTCTGGTTCTGGTGTTAAGATTTAAATCATGTTGTTTTGCTCTTATTGAACAACAACTTTGTCATACTTTAGTTGCGTTTCACATTTGAGTTTTGCATGTTTTTGTTTTTCTCTCTTCCAGAAAGGAATGGCTTCCTGTTGATGGCAACAAAGTTTAGATTTTCTTCAACAAACACACCAGAAGTTGCAACTAAGAAGAATGGGTCACTACTGAAACTAGCAGAGAGTAAATGAAGAACATGGCGTTGGCAGGTGGCTCCGGTCCTCAGCAAACGGTCTCCGTGAGTCTCCACGCTGACACATCTTCCAGACGAATGTGGAAAAACACAAGCAAACGAACAGCTCACCACTGCACCGAGTGCGGAAAGAGTTTCACTCAAAAGGTTAATCTTCAAACACACCAGCGCGTTCACACAGGAGAGAAACCCTATCAGTGTCCAGAGTGTGGGAAGAGTTTCAGTGACAAACGTAATCTAAGAAAACATCAGCAGATCCATAAGAAAGAGAGACAGTATCAGTGCTCAGAGTGTGGAAAAAGATTCCAGGAGCAGACTCATCTTCAGAGACACCAGCGAGTTCATACAGGAGAGAAACCGTTTTACTGCTCAGAGTGTGGAAAGAGTTTCAGTCAACAGACTCATCTCAAAAGACACCAGCGCATCCACACAGGAGAGAAGCCATATCACTGCTCAGAGTGCGGGAAGAGTTTTAACGACAGTCGTCATCTCCAAAGACACCAGCGCATTCACACGGGAGAGAAACCGTATCAGTGCTTGGTGTGCGGAAGGAGTTTTAATCAGCACAGTAATCTGAAAGTACACCAGCGTGTTCACACAGGAGAAAAACCGTTTCAGTGCTCAGACTGTGGAAAGACATTCGCTCTGCAGAGTAATCTCCGAATACACCAACGTATTCACACTGGAGAGAAACCGTATTACTGCTCGGAGTGCGGGAAGAGCTTCAGGCATTCAAATTTAAAAACACATAAATGCATTAAGAAAGAAATAGTGTAATACTACTTGAGGGTCAAATAAAAAACAAGACTGGACAGCCCAGGTTCTGCTGGACCATCTGCCTCATGGCAAGTGTGTTGTAGAATATAAAAATAAAAATTAAACCCTTGTTTTATGGCAGGATTGCAGATTAATATTTTGGTTCCAATCTCCTTTGATTCCCATATTTTACCTGCCACTCAGATTTTTGACCAGCCACATTTATCAATAAATAAATGTATCATCTTACTATTTCTACACTCTTAAAAAAGGTGGTTCTTTAATGGTTCTTTAGTAAAGGTGATGGTTCTCTTTAGAACCATGAGTTCTATATAGAACCATTTCAAGTTTAAATGGTTATTTGCATGGTGAAATGGTTCTTCAGATTGATGCAGAATATGTTGTATATGGTTCTTTCTATTACCATAACAAGCTTGTAACGAGAACAACCTTTTTGGTGCTATATAGAACGTTATACAACACATTTTCATATTACTCATAACAGCAATAATAGTCATGGTAGTAATAATTAATATTAGTTATAATAATAATAGGGACCTCTCTGTAGACCTGCGCAATCAAACTTTGTCGATGTGTCGATCTGGCCGAAGTTTCACAATCATTCCCAAAGCCTTCAATTCTTCCAGAAACACATCAGCGTCCATTGTTGAATCACAGTGATGTTAAAATCATCCTTTGTGGTGGTTCTCAGTCGGAGGTACAGAGAGGTTCTGGACTTAAAGCTACTCTGTACACAAACGTCACATTTCAGCACAGTAAGCTAAAACAACAAGCCAAGATGACGTTGGCATGGCTTCAGGAAAAGTGATTGCCGATCGTCCTTGAGTGACCCAACGAGAGTCGTGTCTTGAACCACACAGAACTTTTGTGGAGAGACCTGTAGAAGGCAGTTTGTCATGTTCCCTACACTATTTGACTGAGTTTGAGAGAATCTGCCAGGAATTCTGGAAGAAACTGCACAAGTCTAGCAGAGTTTGCAGAACTTTCTAACGTTTGTAGAGCATAAGAGTAAATCATCACTGTCTAAAGAAATGCAAGTGTTTCCAAAATAGTAACTTCCTTAATTTTAATCATAAGTTAATGTAAGAAAATGTTTTATTCCAAGCAATTTGGATACATTTCTGTTTTTCCACTCATCATGAAATGTTGAAGCAATGTAAAAGGCAGCTCTGGGTTCAAATGATGTAGAAAAGTAAAAATAAAAAAAAGAGGTGATGCTTTCTGTTTTTATTTATTTGTTTATTTTGGACAGTGACAATATAAAATTATTTGTCTTCACTATGTCTTGTAGCATTTCAGATGACATGCATTTAAAAATAGCTTAAAATTAAAATGAAAAAAATTCTAGAAAAGAGTAAAACATCTAAGAATCTGAGGAATTATTTAGCGTGTGAGGGCTGCATTGAGTTCATCATGAATATGTTTCATGAATGCCATCAGACAGTAAATGGCTCAAGGGTAGCGTGGAATGAAGAAACCTGCTATTCTTTTAAGCTTGACTTGTTAAGGACAAGACAATGTATTGAATAAAACTAATATAATAATATTATTTTTCACTGTTTTCTTTGGAAGGGCACTGGAACTACTGCTGAGTGGGGTCTGTAAATGGTCAAAACAATAGCTTATAAACTAGATAGTTCCAGTGTCAAATCTGAGTCGTTTGAAGATGTTTGAATTTTTTTCATGTACACACATGACCAGACACATCATATTTAATATGAGTCCTCTGTGTCACAACTTGATGTTTTTGAAATATTTATCGATAACTAAATTCTTCTAAGGCATTGTCTCAGTTGCGACTGTATTGTAACGATCGCTGAGTTAGTGAGGGCCGCAGTCACCTCACCTACTACGTTGAAAACAAAATGAAGTGCAATGTATACAGACCTTTAACCACAGAGTTAAAAGGTTACAGCAGTAACAAGATTACCAGACTGGTAAATATACACTCTTTAAAAAGATGGTTCTTCAAGGGTTCTTTAGAAAAGACAATAGTTCTATACAGAACCATGAACACTCAAAAACATTTGCATGCTTAAATGAAAAAAAGTAGCATAGCCAGACTACATTTAGAGTACTTCTTGGTAAGACACATAGTGAACACACACACTAGGGGGCAGTGAGCACACTTGCCCGGAGCAGTGAGCAGCCCTATCCACAGCACCCGGGAAGCAGTTGGGGGTTAGGTGTCTTGCTCAAGGGCACTTCAGTCACGTACTGTCGGCTCAGGAGATTGAACCAGCGACCTTCCGGTCACAGGGATGGTTCCCTGACCTCCAGCCCCATCTGATCTTTAGAGACACAGGAGCTGCTCTGTTGTAAGTAGGGGCTCTAATACTTTTTCCACACCCTTTACTCTGTTTTGAACTGATCTTTAGAGACACAGGAGCTGCTCTATTGTAAGTGGGGGCTCTAACACTCACTTTCACGCTCTTTACTCTATGTTGAACTGATCTTTAGAGGAATGTTTGAAGAGATGATTGCTTCTTTCTAAAGTGTAAAATGTCAGCACAGAAACATGGCTGAGTCGTTTTCTCCTGTTGGTGGTTTTGGGTGATCATCGTGTTTTATAGCTGGACTCTGGGGGTTCTTGATCTCACGTTCGTTCTCCAAACAGAATGAGTGTGAACAGACAGTGGGGTTGATATAATGAGGTGTGGTCTGCTGAAGAACTTTGTGGTGTACATCTTCAGAGGCAGGAGGCAGATGGTTCTAACTAAAATAATCAGAATAGTGAGGTCTTGGTGGGACAAGAGAATCACCTACACAACAGTGAACACTCATGCAGCTGCACTACAAAAACAAGTTTGTGATCTCATAGAAAATTATGATTGGATCATTCAGTTTATACTGTAAGCACTCAGATCTGTTGTCTGCCATCAACTTAGTTTATTATTGCTTGCTTTATTGATTTTGGCAGCTAAAATATTAAAAGCATATCTTAAGCAAAAACTAGCACATATTTTTGTTGGGATGCTGGTATGTTGGTCAACCAGTATCAACATGCTGGGTGACCAGCTACACCAGCACCAGACCAGTTTACACCAGCTTAAAGCAGCATGGAAATGGTTTCTTGCACCCTGCTTGTGTGACATATATGCTTTTTTGTCATAGCAAGTTATGGAAAAATGTGTATGTACATGTGTCTGTAAACATAATTAGATGTTCATCTCTGATATCAGTTTGTCCTGTTTGTCTGTTTTTTTTTCAGGTATACGGTACATTTCTGTTGATGACATTGACACTTAATTCACGTTCAAGTTACATGAAATAAACAGTAAAAATAGCGACTGCGCATTTAAAATCTGTTGATAGTGAAATGATTGTTACTAAAAAATGATATATCGTGTCGGTGGTTGGGACAATATTACTGGAGGGGAAAAGAAGAATGAATCAGATCCAGTGCTGTAACAAATCCATCCTGAAATAGCATATCTTACTTAACTCTAATATATCATTCAGTCTTTCCAGTTTTAGCTAGAGCGTGACATCAAGAGAAAAACTTCTTTTGACCACACACCAGTGTGCTTGTTAGATGAATCGCTTCTCCTGGACTGATTTATTCCACATTATGTGTACAAGGCCTGCTATTGCTTGGTCCCCCTCAGCTCACTCGGCTGCACAAACCACGTGACCATGCAACCATGTCAGTGCTCACCCTATGTGATGACATCACCACGCCAACTCGCATTTTACACAGTCACTCCTTCATTGGCTTTTGTGACCTGCTATACATGCCTCCATTTCTTCTCTCATTTGCTGTTGTCTCTTTTGTTCCCTCTTTCCTCACATTTATTTCCCTCCCCTTCCTTGCACAAATTGCCAAATTCCTATCCCTTACCATGCCTTGCATCTCCTTAGTGGGATCTCACATCGGCCAAATGGAGCTCTTCAGATCAACTCCACTTTGGATCAGCTCCATTCCAGCTCGGATCCATCGACATGCTCCATTTCACTCCAATCGCCCCTCGCATCCCACATTCTCCCCTCGCATCTTGTCCTCACCCCTTGCATCCCGCGTCCTCCCCTCGCTGCTCACCTTCCGCATCTTCCCCTCACTCCTCACGTTCCACATCCTCCCCTTACCCTTCAGATCTCTCATCCTCCACTCGCCCCTCACCTCCCGCATCTTCCCTTTGCATCCTGCATCCTCCCCTCACTCCTTGCATTCCGCATCCTCCCTTCACACTTCAGATCCTGCATCCTCCACTCACCCCTGGCATCCCGCATCCTGTCCTTGCCACTTTTATCCCTGCATCTTCCCCTCACCCCTCACATCCCGCATCCTCCCCTGACCCCTCGCAACCCGCATGCTCCACCTTGCATCCCACATCTTCACCATGCCAATGCATATTTTACACAACATCACTCCGTCAGCTTTTCCGACCTGCTATACAAGCTTCCATTCTTCTCTTTTGCAGTTGTCCTTTTTGTTCCCTCCTTCCTCACATTTATTTCCCTCCCCTCCCTCACACAAGGCAAAGTTCCTGTCCCTTACCATGCTCACCAGCTCACTTGTTTTGTCTGTTTTCTGTAATCTATCTAAATCACTAGTTTTAATGTGATTATGTGCTCTTGCCGGGCATGCCAGTGTGTGGTTGATAGTACTGATTAATCTCAATTTTTTAACTTTGCTATGTTTCCAACATTCCATTCCATAGTTTTCTGTTCTTTACTGACATCGCATTGCACAACTGCTTGACCTCCTTATCCAAGCTCCTCCTTCTTTTTCTTCCAGCCCCCCCTTTTAATTTACCAAATTCCTTGCCCTAACATCATGCATCCTGCCCTCATGCCTCAAATCCCACATCTTTCCCTTGCATCCCGCATCCTCTCCTTGCCCTGGCATCCTGCATCCTCCCTCACCCCTCACATCCTGCATCCTCCCCTCACATCCCACGTCCTCCCCTCACATCCTCTCCTCGACCCAGCATCCTGCATCCTCCCCCTGCCCCTTTTATCCTGCATCTTCTCCTCACCCCAATTCAGCTTCATCATGACCCTGCTCCAGTCTTTACCTGCTCCATCTTGGTTCAGCTTCAGTGCAGCTTTGCTCTGCACCTCATTTTTGACTCTGTTTAGCTGTGTCTCATATCAGCTCCATCTCAGATCAGCTCCTCCTTGGATCAGCTCTGTCTTAATTTGGTTATATTTCTTCCTTTTTCCACAGCCTGGACTAACATTGGTCTGTTTGTGAAGATGCTGCCTGTGCCCCTGGGAACCTGACGCTCTCCTAGTAATTTTGGTAATTCTTCTGCTACTGCTGATTTGACTTCCCTCATGTTGTTGCCTTCATTCTCTCATCACATTCAGCTGTCCTTTCACCATGGCCGGCCTTTTGGTGGCTTTAATTCCAGGCAAATGATTCTCATCCAATGTCATAACCGAACAACTGTACTGTTGCCAACAGGGTTTTTCATGCCAAACAGTTAGTGCCAAGCAGTGGCCAGAGCATCATCTAGCTGCCTGTGTCATCACACCCATCCAATCCCATACGGACCAGTTATCTTTTAACAGTCATTCCTACTCCATGTTCATTTCATTTAGGATGATGTATTTTACTTTACTCTCATCAAACCCCTTTGCCTGTCATATTTAATGCTATCTTCAGAGAGTTCTCCACTTCTCAGAGGAGGACGGGTTCCCCTGTCGAGTCCTGGTTCCTCTCAAAGTTTCTTCCTCACTGGGAGTTTTTCCTTGCTGCTGTCACCCTCAGCCCACATGCCACCATGTCACACTGAATCAAAGTCATCTGCTTTATTTTTCTTCTCATCTTACAACCTTAATAGCAAAACTACTTACTCCAAGCACCATACAAAAGGCCAATAGAACTAGACCTCTTTTTTGCCTATGCTGAACTTCTTTACATAACCATACTATGCCTTACTTAGATACCCAAATGCTGAACTGTCTGAGCAACACCTGGTTCTGAATCCAGTTTCTCCATATTCCACTGGCATACACTCATACCAAGTTCTCTGCCAAGCAGCTACAACTCTTGTCACTTCCGAATCAGCTCTTGCAGAATAGAGATTTCAGGACATTTTCTCATAATGTGAAGATCACTTAGTCCTAGACCTCAACAGTGTCTGAGGTCATCCTGGAGTTATGGGGACTCAGTGTTTAAACTGTCTTCTCTCATACTACCACCACATGTTGAAAGCAAACTCGGAACTCACAAAATGTAGTTATATCTGAAGCTTGT